TTACAAGCAAAACAAGAACAAGTTGGATTCAAGATCTGAAAAGGGTATTTTTGTAGGCTGTGATAAGAACAGCCCTGCTTACTTTGTGTTTCATCCTGACACAGGAAGAGTACTCAAAAATAGGTTGGTCAAATTCATCACCAAGAGTGTCATTGAGAGTCAGACTCAAACAGAGCAGGAAACGGATGATGAAGATTTCAGTATGAGGAGAGCTGGAAACCACCTACCAACAATTGAAAAGGCAAATGTAATCCCAAAAGAGTCACAGGAAAATGAGACTGAGATTTGTGATAACATTCAGACAGGTGAAGGCCAAAGTAGCCAGAGGACATCTTACCCACAAAGGGAAAGAAAACCTCCTCAATATTTCCAGAGTACATCTTATCCACAAAGGGAAAGAAAACCTCCTCAATATTTGAAGGATTATGAGTGTAAAGTCGAATCTGATGACCAAGGAGAACTAACCCTTGATTACTGTTATAGAGTTATTTGTGCCCCAAACATTGAAGGAGGCTATGACATCACCAAATGCTCAATGATGGGCTAAAGCTATGGAGGAGGAAATGGATTCACTAAGGGAAAATGACACATTTACCCTGACCACACTGCCAGAAGGTAAACATGCAGTGGGGGGCAGATGGGTTTACACAGTGAAAGAGAACCCAGTTAAAACATGCAAAGCCAGGTATGTAGCAAAAGGCTATAGTCAAGTGTCTGGTATTGATTATAAGGAAACCTTTTCTCCAACTGCAAATATGACATCTGTACGTAGTCTAATGCAAATCGCAGTACAACATGATTTAGAATTGCATCAAATGGATGTTAAAACGGCATATTTACATGCTCCTATAGACTGTGAGTTGTTTATGGAACAACCTGAAGGATTTGAGGTGAAGTCAGAGAAGGGGGAGAAACTGGTCTGTAAACTTAACAAATCACTGGATGGTCTGAAACAATCAGGACGGAATTGGAATAAAATGCTCCATGATTATCTAAGTGAAAATGGTTTTATTCAAAATCCGGCTGACCATTGTGTTTACAGTAAACTAACATCTAAAGGTGAAAGGATTATTTTGATAATCTGGGTTGATGATCTTATCATTGCAGGAAGCAACAGTCAAACAATCCAAAATGTAAAAGACATTTGGAGCCAAATTTAAGATGAAAGATCTTGGCAAACTTAAGAACTTTCTAGGCATTGATTTCATTACATTAGATTACATTGCATTTAGCTGACGCTTTTATCCAAAGCGACTTACAATAAGTACATTCGACCAGGAAGACACAACCTTGAAGAAAACAGAATCATATAAGTACATCAGGTTTCATAGAGCCAAACATTTCAAGTGCTACTCAACTGGCTTTAGATAAGCCAGTCCTTTATTAGTATATAAGTGCTTCGTTAATAGTTCTATCGCTCGAAGTGGAGTCGAAAGAGATGAGTTTTCAGTTTGCGCCGGAAGATGTGCAAGCTATCTGCCGTCCTGATGTCAATGGGGAGCTCATTCACACAGACAGATGGTGAAATAAAGATGAACCAGAAAAGGTACATCATGAAAATATTGCAAAGGTTTGACATGTCTGACTGCAAGGCAAGATCGACTCCATGTCTGACTGCAAGGCAAGATCGACTCCATGCGAGTATAAACAACAATTTGACAATGAAGGTGAATCTGTTGATCAAAAGAGGTATCGTGACGTGGTAGGCAGCTTGATTTATGTGATGACATGTACTAGACCTGATCTAAGTTTTATTGTCAGTAAGTTGTCTCAACACTTATCCGAACCAAAAGAACAGCATATGGTAACAGCAAAACATGTGTTGAGATACTTGAAGGGAACTGTCGACCAGGAGTTGTGTTACAAGAGAAGTGATTCAAAACTAAAACGTGTTGCATATTGTGATGCTGATTGGGCAGCAGATCAAAATGACAGACGGAGCACAACTGGGTGCTGTTTTAGTCTAAGTCAGACAGGACCTGTTATTTCCTGGAGATCTAAGAAGTTGCTTTATCCACATGTGAAGCAGAATATATGGCATTGGCAGCTGCTACACAGGAACGTTTTTATCTTGTGCAATTATTAAAAGGAATGGACAGTGGAAATGATTATGCACCAGTGACAATCTTTGAGGACAACCAAGGGGTAATTGCACTATCAAAGAATCCTGTGTGTCGTCAAAGGTGTAAACATGTTCAAATATCATTTTGTTCGATCTGCAGTTAGTGATGGAAACATTATTATTGAATACTGCCCAACAACAGAAATGGTAGCTGATATTTTAACCAAGCCTGTAACAAAGGGCATGATTGAAAAGTTTGTGTATTTCATTTTTGGTGTTGAAGGTTAAAATAAAAAAAAGTGTAAATGTATGTCAAAGGTTGTCAGAATAAGATCAAGTGGGGGTGTTGAACTGTTGTGAACGATTCATCTCTTGAATGCTCTTATGCTGACGTCATATCTGTCAATCTGTCAATCACACAGCTGGTTCTAATAAAGGGATCATTGCTGGCTCACTCGGAGAACTCAGTCAGTGTCATGTGAACTACAATGCAAGTGTGTGGCGTCTTTTATTCCTCCGTAGTATTAGTCCAAGGCTATCTAGACCTTTGCTGGTAATGGCTGCTGCGCCAACACAGACCCCTCCTTTTTTATCATTTTAAAGCAGTATAACCCAAATCAGCACTTTTTAAACAGGAAGTGAAATAGAGGGATATGAGGCATGGCTAGAATGATCTGTTTGGTGTTTTGAGCAAAACACTTCATAGACATGTTTTTTATATATTTTTATATATCTGAGACCTATGCTGTTGCCTAGAAATAGCATGATAGGTGACCTTTAATACTTATAATCCAACAGTTTAATGTAGCTTATATTATTATCAAATGGGCCATTTACATTTACACTGTTGTATTGCATCTGAATTATTTCCCCGGCTCTGTATAATAGATATGAAATGCCAAAAATACCTGTAGAAAGCAACATCGCCACTCTTCTTAAACTTTTCTTTCCCTTCATCATCAGGGATAACACTGAGGAACAAGCAGAAAGAAAAAAAACCTTATTTTCTATAATATATAATATAAATATAAAAACATCTATGTTGTAATTAATTTCTACTGGAGTTCATAAACATACAACTAAATATGCATATTTGTGTTTATGTGGTTATTTATACTGGATCATATAATCTATGTCTGTGTTTTATTGATTCCTCTCTGTTTCATTATTTCCTGTTGTGCGGGTTGATTTTCCACAACAACCGTCTTAAAGAATGCTGTAGGTACCCCGTCGTGAAATGCACCCCCTGGCCTGCCGTAAAAAGCACCCCCCCCCAAAAAGATGCTTCTATTAATCCCACCCTCAAGCACTTGATGTAAAAATAAACAATACATTGTAAAGCACAAGTACAAGCACAAGTATACAGACAGGACGTCACAATTAAATAAAAACATATATTAAATAAAAAATGAACTGAAAAATAAGTGAGGGATGAATGCAAAATCCAGGATTCGACGACCTAACCATCAAAAAGACAACATAGAATAGCGGACGATACATTCAAATGCGCGTTCCCGTGTCAAGGGGTTCATTTCACGACGGGGGTGCATCATTTGACACAACACCTGTTCAACGCATGAAGTGGAGGAGTTACACTCAGTAACAGTCCTGCAGAGATCTCCCAGTGTGATGCACGTGCAACTTCCCATGGTAACATCAGCTGGTCTAATGGGATCATCTGTGTTTACACCATTAACGTCTACTCGTTCTGATAAAAAAAATACTGCAAGTTCTTCACTTGTCATTGGAAGACTGTGGTGGGGAGGGGGCTTTGTTTAGCATGTGATCAATGGTGGAAAATAACACCTTAGCATTTCTCCCATTTCCCGTGATAATTTTAGAGAAATGGTCTCTCCTTGCTAAGCGTATTGCTTTGTTGTAAGCATAGACTGCATATATAAAGGCACTGGATGCATGTGAGAAAATCAAAGGACAGAAATGAAAGTAACCTGCAGAGAGAGTTGTTTACCTAACAATGGGTTGGCTCACTTCCGCCATGTGGAGCAGCAGAATGAAGAAACAGCTGTTCACACTCGGGTTAATCTTCTGATTTGAGCAATAACTACATTATTGTTCTGCCTGAACTTCTGCATGAACTCCCTTCGACTTTGACAGGGGGTGAAATCGTGGCAGCAGCGATCATCACAGAGGAAATGAGGGGGGTACTTCCGGTTTCAAACTTCAATTTTCTTCTCCTATTCATACTACTTATATTTTTTACTTCACTACATAATTTATCTGACAGCTTTAGTTACTTTGCTGATGTATGGGTTATGAATGCAAAATAGAAATCAGCTTCTAAGCTACTCATTAGTAGTAAATAATAATATATATTTTACCAAATGTTTCGAGGGGATACATTAATGCATCAATCAATAAATAAGTGTTTTCTTTTTGCGATTACTTTTACTCTTAACACTTTAAGTACATTGTCCTAATCATACTTAAATACTTCTACGTGTTCTAAAACCTGATGTATTTGCCAAATTGTTCTATAAATAAAATTAAAGTTGTCAGTTATTCAAACTTAAAGGTAGGCCTACCATGGGGTCAGATTAGAATTCTCCAAAGGGGGGTTCGTTTAGCATCAAACACTTGAAATAACTAAAGGATAAGTACAAAAAGAAAGTACAAAGAAAGTGAGGTCAAATAAAACTATTTCTGCTAAAAAGTTAGCAATGATTGAGAGTCAGAGCTAAACATTTCAGATGTGTGTATCTCACACTTTAATTCATGTTCCTTTGTTATTATCGTGTTTTTAAATGCCATTTTATAATATGTTTCGTATTGGTCTTAATGTCTTTTGTTTTTGTAAAGCACTTTGAATGGCCTTGAGTTGAAAGGTGCTATAATATAAACAAACTTGCCTTGCCTTGCCTTACTCTTTCCGAGTGTTCTGGCGCCATCTCGCGGTGACTCTGTGAACTACACCCCGGATTTGGAGGCGGATACGAGCCTGTTATTGATGCTCCACACAGATGAAGATGCCAGATGCACAGACGCATCAGTTATCATGTTTTCTGCTTTTTGCATTAGTTGTCCGCCTCGGTTCAGCGGCGGAGGTCTCCGTGTGGAACGTGGAGATCAACTCGGTGAGTGTTACACCCTTTAGCATCTAAATGTAAAAAAAAAGACCTAAAAGACTGACGTGCTAACTGTGCAATAGCAGCTGTTAGCATGTCGTGCTAACTTTGCATTAGCAGCTGTTAGCATGTCGTGCTAACTCTACATTGGCAGATGTTTCGCAAGTCGTGCTAAATCTACATTAGCAGCTGTTAGCATGTCATGCTAAGTCTACATCAGCAGCTGTTCGCCTGTCGTGCTAACTGTACATTGCGACTATTAGCATGTCGTGCTAAATCTTAATCAGCAGCTGTTAAGATAAGATAATATAAGATAAGTCTGTAATCATCCTCATCAAGTTATTGTGCAAGTTACAAAATATTCAATAAACAAAATAATAATAATGTGATGTACTATGTAATACTAAATCCTGCTTTTACTTGGTCACCTAAAACATTCTCTGCAACATTTAGCTTATTGTATTTATTTATTTCTGACATGTATATAGTTTACTTCATTTGCATTACTTGCACATTGGTCTTTCAACATAACCTGCACTATTGTATTCTACTCTCTTACTGCACTATTTTTATAACAGAACTAATAAGTCAACTTAAATATGTTGTTCTTATTGCAAGTGATTAGTGTGATATATAACAACTTGTTCGCATATTTTCCTCAAAGTGTGCAGCCCTATTATTACTTTCCTCAGTTAAAGTGTTCATCCTTCCCTCAGACTATAAAACAGTATTATTATATAGAGTATTATTCAGTCGGTGTGATATGTCTCTCCTCCTGCATCCTGTCCCTGACGGCGTGTTGTTTGACCTGAAGTGGCTCCATGTCACCTGACGGCTGTGTGTTTGTTTTGTTTTCAGACACAGGATGCAGTGTTTCGAAAGACGCTGTACGCCAACACCACCATTTTCATGAAGTGTGAGTATTTAGTAGGGATGGGAATTTGAAAGCAAATGTATATTCCAATATTCGACCCCCAAAGAAAACGATTAACCGAAGTGTACATATCCTATAAAAAAATAAAAAATGTTTTTAATTTGGAAAAATAAATACATAATTCAAATAATTATAGAAACCAAGTCGAATGTGTCAAATGTATTGAACTGGTGATCACAGTTTGAACAGTTGACAGCTATAGGCCTACAGCTTTCATGCATAAAACATAACTTGGTTTTTAAATGAAAGAGGGATCAAACACGAACAACATAACGGGTTAAGGCAACGTAACCCGTGACAACAGAGATCAACAACCTGTAACAGGGGCTATGCACAGAATGCAGCTATTCAATACTCATTCTTGTTTAAGAATATGAGCATGTCTACTCAGAGGAGAGGCGATTCAGAATCAGGCCAGCTGTAGAGGAGACAGCTGGAATTTGGGCATAAGATGAGGTTTGAGTCTGCGTGATCTGCGAGTAGGGAGGGGCAGCAGCCGTATCATTAGCTGGAACTAGATCTGATGGATTTGGACATAAACGCGAGTGAAGTATAACCGGACGCTAGAGAGAGAGAGATCGATCAGCACCTGCAGCTCTGCCCGCTGTGAGGGACCGGTGAGCAAAACACACCTTTAGACCTGACACACTTAGCTATGGCACTGTCGTATACATTGAATTATTCCATTTGATCATATGTAATCAACTTAAGCACCCCTCCCAAAACAAATTCTAATAATTTCGAATATTCGATTAATCGTTCCCATCCCTAGTATTTAGAAGTCTCCTTTTTATTGTTACTAACGGGATTGGGACATTGAATGGTTTATGGCACGAAGCAGGCACCATTTCCCCAGGCTACTTCCTGCCTCCTTTGCATCCACCCTTATATAATATTAAAGATTTAAAAACGATATTTCATCAGCAGTAGAACATTTACGCTAACAGGACATATGTATGTTGTAGTATTCTGTGAGAATGTAAGGTTATTATATATGTTTTGTTGTTGTCGTGTTTTTTCAACCATTTGACTCTGTAGCACTTTGAGTTTTGTTTGCTCAAATGAAAAGTGTGCTTATAAATAAAATGGATTATTATTATTAAGGTGAGGGCCGTAGAAAATGTCTGTTTAACATTAATAAAGGTTTAACGGTACGTCCACACGGCGGCATGCGTTGAAGCGTGTCTGGAGCGCGACCGACAACCAATCACATTAATCTCCCGCCCCGGACACACAAGCACGCAGTTTGATTGGCTAGAGCTTGTACTGGCATATGATTTGATTGGCTGACGCATCCGTCGAAGCTTGAAAAGTTGAATTTTTTTTAATTATTGAAACAATTATATCAAATACAGAATAAGGCATATAGACATCAATGTTCAACATATACATTCCAAAAAATAAACAGGGCATTTGAACAGAAAGAAGAATAAAAAACAAATAGAAAAAGGAAAACACAAGTGGTCATTCAGAAATTAAAGTGCTAAGAAACTTGTAAAATTCTTTGAAAAGTCAAACTTTTCTCAACTTTCGAAGCGAGCTACGAAGGCGACGCGACGGAACCACAATGCAGTTTGGCAAAGCGTGACGTCACCCCATTAAGTGAATGGGAAGCTTCAAGGCACGCTGCCGTGTGGACGGGCCGTAACTGTCAGGTCGAATTTATGATGGCCTATAAAAATTAAATCCTGTATCTATACAGTTGGCCAATAACCCATCATTTATTACTGTGAACAAAATCAGTATTTACTACAATGTTCAACCAATAAAACATTTCAAAAATAGATTCTCGTGACTCAGTTTAGCTGAGTAAACATTTCAAAATTAAAGTTTTAGCCTTAGGATTTATTTTTTAAACAGTGATGAAGTCATAAAATATAACAACAGACATTTAAAGCGTTATTCAGAAACCTCAATTAAAACTTGAAATGTAATTAAATAATGTTTTAGATACAGCCCTTTTTGATAGTAGGAGTCAGAACCCTCAGAGCTGCTTTCCCCAGACATCATTGAGAAATCCACAATGAGGGAGAGATATTATTTCTACTCCCACGTAGGGAAATAGCCAAAGTCCCCTTTTGAAATAGAGCTCAATGTGGGACGCTGGGTGAAAGTCTGGACATAAAAAGTAGATTTTACCACACAAAGTCTCTCCTAAATGATCTGGAACAGCTGGTGTGATATATGGCTTTATTACACTGTCTTATAACCCCGTTCTCCACGCTGTGAGTTACTCTCTGTCCTCTCGCTTCAGTCCAGGGTGACACGGCGTCATGTGATAAAAACCTGGCCTTCAACATCAGCTGGTACCTGCGCTCCTCTGTCTGCTACAACGAGGTCTTCAACACGCCGGTGAGTATTACTTAAAGTCGGTTTGTTTTGTCATGGATGTAACAAACACAGGTACTGAAGATAAGGGAGATAGATAAGTGGTTTTATTGATTTTTTGCAAGACAACAAATACATATTCATGGCAGCAGTTTCCATAATACAAAAATGCATGTTTCTGCGTATGTATGTATGTATGTATGTATGTATGTATGTATGTATGTATGTATGTATGTATGTATGTATGTATGTATGTATGTATGTATGTATGTATGTATTCAGACCTCATGTGTACAGGTCGTGTGCTTGTGTGTATTCTATAAATAAATAATAATAAAGGGTCTTCTTCAATAGAGATGAAACAATCGATCTAGTTCTCTCAGTTGTTATGAGTTCTCACTGGTGAAGGAGTATACTGGGTTCAATTCAAAGTATTCGGAGTACCAGTCTGACTTCTCTATGATTGTTCTAACCATTGAAGCAAATACAAAAAACAACATAAAACTATATTTACAAAATTGTGCTTGCTGTTTTATTACTCCACACATTTGATTTTTCTGAAATTCCTGTGCTCTCCTTCCTGCAGGACAACAAGGCGATGAACATGTTCGACATGGATCACATGTTGAAGGAGGACTGGAGCGGCTTCTACAGCCACGGCTACATGTACTTTGAGAACTGCTCCTCCCTCTTCTTACCAAAGGTTTGGGACCACAACACACTTTAAGTCTCACTTTGCAAATGGAATCATCAGTATGTGCTCACAGGAAGGCTGCCCTCCTTTATCAGTGCGGAGGTTATTCAATGGCGGGTATCAAAGTATTTCAATTATTTTGCTACCTGCATTTTATTGTAGCCTTTAAAAGAAAAGCCTTAAAGGTCCCCTATTATACTGTCTTTCATCAATATATCACAGGTCTCAGATATATACAGAACCTTTCTCTGATTGGCTGAAACCCCAAACAGATCATTGCAGCATTACCCATAATCCCCTCTGTTTCAGCCCTGTTTCCAAAGTGCTGATTCTCTGTCTGTTACTTTAGATGAAAATAAGGAGCCCCTCCCCACGCCCCTCTGAGAGACATTTGGTTACAAAGAACTCAATGGTGCTCTAGGAGGAGATTCAGGTGATAAGGGGGGGGGGGGGGGTTACCTTGGTTGCTGATTGGCTAATGGTTACACAAGACCAAACATCGTTATGACATCATAAAGTGGCCAAAATCTGATCAGCTCATTTTCAGACAGGTTTTTATAGAAATGGATCAAAAAGAGAGAGAATCTTTGTTCCTGAAACTTTCAGAGTCTCTTTCCACAGAGGGGACACATGTTGATGTAGAAGAGACATGAAGAAGAGGGGACACATGTTGATGTAGAAGAGACATGAAGAAGAGGGGACACATGTTGATGTAGAAGAGACATGGAGAAGAGGGGACACATGTTGATGTAGAAGAGACATGAAGAAGAGGGGACACATGTTGATGTAGAAGAGACATGAAGAAGAGGGGACACATGTTGATGTAGAAGAGACATGGAGAAGAGGGGACACATGTTGATGTAGAAGAGACATGAAGAAGAGGGGACACGTGTTGATGTAGAAGAGACATGAAGAAGAGGGGACACATGTTGATGTAGAAGAGACATGAAGAAGAGGGGACACATGTTGATGTAGAAGAGACATGAAGAAGAGGGGACACATTGATGTAGAAGAGCCATGAAGAAGAGGGGACACATGTTGATGTAGAAGAGACATGAAGAAGAGGGGACACATGTTGATGTAGAAGAGACATGAAGAAGAGGGGACACATGTTGATGTAGAAGAGACATGAAGAAGAGGGGACACATGTTGATGTAGAAGAGACATGAAGAAGAGGGGACACATGTTGATGTAGAAGAGACATGAAGAAGTGGAAATTCACTTTAAGTTGCTGACGGTGGAGTAGGTGTTGTTTAAGTAAAGTGAAACTGTAGTTAAGAGACAGTCCCTTAACCTCTATTTGACTTTGTTGTTTGATAGTTTAGATCAAAGTGTAGAAGGTCATTTACTTTGATCTAAAATGTATCGTGCATTTCCTTTAGAAAAGAGCCGAAGCATCTGCAGTGGACGGAAGTGGAGATTCTGCAATATAGTTGTGCGAACATTTGAAAAACAATCATTAATGTAATGATATTTCTCTATCCTCTCACCCAGGTGTATTACCCCGACTTCAACCCATATCAGCCCCTCACCAGCCCCAAGGTGAGTCACCCTCACAGTGCCCATACAAGTGCATTGAACAATATAGAGCACAATATATACAATCTTTATCTGAATGTAAGACTGGTTTTATTTTACACCGCAAAACTCCATGAATTACAGCTCACTATATGCTCTGTTCTGTTTAGAGTGACCCGTCCAATCAGAGCCTCATTTGGCCCGACAAACCGGTAAGACATGTTGTTGTTATTGATCATTCAAATGTCTTTAAATGTATGTTATATATGTCAGAGGTCAGGATTTATAAAGCACTTTTAATACAGGTTAGTTCAAAGTGATTTGCTGATGACAGAGAAGCTGACCGTAAGACCAACAAATGTGGAATGTAAAAAACTACAGAAAAGACAAATGTACCAATTTCAAACCAATGCCTGTCAGACAAAAAAGTGATTAAAATGTCATTCATTTGAATTAGATGGTACAATAACAGCTGATTGAAAAGCGTTAAATCGGTAACCCCTCATTTAATGCAAACTAATGCCAGATTTAATGCAAAAGCAGTAAAGGAAGAATATCCCACTCTGTTCTAGGATGTCAAAGCATGACCTCGGAAGCTTTATTTATTTCAAATATTGAGCGTATTGCAAACACATTTATTGGTTTATGGTTTAAGTGAAGGTACTTAGAAAACATGTAAGTAGATAGCCTATGATTTGTTGCTCACAAACATTGTTGTTGCAGGACATCAGTGCCGTGGCCAAGGCCTGGGGGGACAGTCCCTACCTGTTCATAGTGAAAGTGCAGCCCATTTTCCGCGGAGTCGACGACGAAGAAAACGTAGCGGAGCAGCTCAACTTCGCCTTCACAAGTGAGACAACATTTCACTCCAAAAGCTCTAGGATAAAGTCATTGTTACTCATTAGATAAAACACTGATGAAGGGACATTTTAGTGTCATAAGAAGTGACTCTTTTTATTTGTATTTCCCCAGTGAAAGTGGAGATGAAGGGACCACATGACTACTCCTCTCCTGCAGACTGGCCTCTGATGATGGTATGTATGATGAATCAAAGGGAAGGGTTTTAAAGGGGACCTATCATGCAAAATGCACTTTTTGCACACAAAAAAACTAAGAAAGAAAAAGAGATAAACAGAAAATAGGGGGGGGGGGTCAGTGGTTGAATGCAGTGTTGAACAGGTGGGCTTTGAGTGATGTTTTGAATGCGGTGAGGGAGGAAGAATCTCTGATGGATTGGGGTAGTGAGTTCCAGAGGGTGGGTGCAGCAACGGAGAAGGCTCTGCCGCCCCAGGACTTGAGGTTGGTCCGGGTGGGGGGGGGGGGGGGGGGGGGCGACGACAAGAGGTCGGCAGCAGCAGAGCGGAGGGAGTGTGTCTGTGGAGGAGGTCAGTCAGGTAGGATGGGGCAGCCAGGTTATGGAGGGCTTTGTATGTCATCAGGAGGATTTTGTACTGAATTCTCTGGGGGATGGGGAGCCAGTGGAGCTTGATGAGGAGGGGGGTGATGTGGTCACGGATTCGGGTGTGGGTGAGTGTCTACTCACCCACACCCGAATCCGTGACCACATCACCCCCCTCCTCATCAGGACCTCGGTGGCGGAGTTCTGGATGTATTGAAGTTTGTTGAGGATTTTTGCAGGTGAACCGTAGAGGAGGCTGTTGCAATAGTCCAGACGGGAGGTGATGAAGGCGTAAGATAGAGCCATAAGAAATGAATGCAACTGATTATTTAATGTTTAATGTTGTTTTTATAGGAAATCATTTAAGCTTTGTTAGCTCCAGGTTTAATATGTGCAATAAGTTCATTTCAATAAGTTCTGCAATAAACATTGAACCAGTCCGGCCCTCGACTAGTACCCATTTTTTTATTTGGGCCCACTGTGTATTTGAGTTTGACCCCCCTGGCTTAGAGAGTCGGGACCTTTTGGTTTAGGAACCTTGAAAATGCGTGATTTTCTTCTCTTGAAATGTTGTACTGAGCTTTTTTCATTTTCAATCATTAATATGTCACACATACCAACAGTTGTACATAATAATAATAATGCATTTTATTTATATAGCGCTTTTCACAACTCAAAGATGCTTTACAGTATGAGGGAGGGTAGACAAACAAGGACAGGCAAATAAGTAAATATCGTAAAATAAAATACATGTATATTTATCTACTGTATATTCACATTATATAAAAATACAGTTATTTATACAAATACAAATGCTTAAAAATAAAAACTCACATTCTCATTTGTCCATTTGTTATACCGGTTCCTCTTACTAAGTCAGTTGTTTAATATCTGAATAAGGACCGTTTCTCCCATTATTCTACAAACCATGATTCCTGCAGTCACACACCCTGATCTTAACTGTTGTTTAAAACTCTTTCCTCTCTCTCGTGTCGCTGTCAGTTCTTCATGTTGATGTGCATCGTGTACGTGCTGTTCGGCGCTCTGTGGCTCTTCTGGTGCGCCTGTTATTGGAGAGATCTGCTGCGGATCCAGTTCTGGATCGGAGCCGTCATCATCCTCGGCATGCTGGAGAAAGCCGTGTTTTACTCAGAGTACCAGAGCATCCGCTACAAAGGAGACTACGGTGCGTTTGTTTGATACATCTGCTTCTCTGTGTGTATGTTTTGTGGTGGAAATGTACTGAGACAAACCAGTGAATAATAATAAAAAGGTGAGGAAACCTTTCCGTTATACCGAAATGAAGATTCTTGGAATAAGACGGCCTTTTAGGGAGTTTATTCTTGCACAGAGTGTCAGGCAGTCTGCAGCAAAAGTCAGAAGGTCTGCAGAGGGTCTTATATCCACATATTCACACCAAGAATAGAAAAGGAGGGACAAACCGACACGATAAACATACTATATATAGGATTCTTTAAAACAGTGATTCTCAAATGGGGGTACGCGGACCCCTAGGGGTACATTGGGGTACTGCAGGGGGTACGTGAGATAAAAAGAGTCTTGGTACAATAAGTGAAATAGAAAACACAATTGTATATAAAATATTTCTAGAACCACCAAGGGGGTCCTCATATAAACATGTCAAATTTGTGTATTGTATTTTATAGTTTTTCATAATATATCATTGTGTTCATTGGTTTGTTAAACATATATATTACTTCAGTTGGAAAAATCGTTATGTTCTTTTTTTTCATGCACAAAGATGAAAAAAATCCTTGTTGTTGTAATTCATGCATGAAGGAGTTGATACACTGATGGAACATGACTATATTGTAATTATTGATATAGGCTTTTTCCATCCAAAATGTTCGGGGTCGGTCAGGCGGTACTCGGCTGAGAAAATGTTTCAAAGGGGGTACATTCGGGCGGTTTTGGCGCAGTGGTTCGAGCGTTGGTCATCAGATCAAGGGGCGTTGGTGAACTCCAGTTCGAATCCCGCCTCCTGCGTCAGGCCGTTGTGTCCTTGGGCAAGACACTTTACCCGCATTTGCTCCTGTGGTTAATGACTCTTACATTATGTCTAATATGTGTAATGTGTACTTGTAAAGAGCTTTGAGCACCTGTAAAAGCGCTCTAATAAAAAATGTAATGCATTATTATTATTACTGAAAAAAGTTTGAGAAGCCCTGCTTTAAAACACATCTGGTAGCAAATGGAGAAGCATCATGTCTACTGTCCATGTACGACTCATTTAGGTTATTGCTGCTACCTGTTGTTAGAAATAACTGGTAAAAGAAGAACAGATGGTGAACTTTAAATGCTCCCTTATTATGATACAATTTTCCATTACAGTTCTTCCCTTCAGTCTGATATCATAAACGTTTTCTTTGTGTATTTTTCTCTTCACAGTCCAAGGCGCAGTGATTTTTGCCGAGCTGCTCTCTGCTCTCAAAAGATCTCTCGCTCGAATCCTGGTGCTCATCGTCAGTCTGGGATACGGCATAGTCAAGTAAGTTCACTCTTTTAACCTATTGACTTTCCTAATGTCTCAGTACTTAAACAATTAGATTAGTTCATTGTCCTTCGCCAATATCCTCTAAAGTTTGTTCCTAAATGTGTTCTTGAGATCGATCCGTAAAGCCCTCGTCACAATGTCCCGAAATTGACACCACGAATATGGAGTTGTGAATTTCGTACGAAGATGGCCCCGAACTTGGTCAACGGCCAAGCAACAGCCTAAGCAAGTACGATGCCTACAGAAGGCCACACGATGGCACCCGAACCACACACTCCGTCATGTTGTTTCCATCGCAACAACAACTTCCTGTCAACAGCGTAAACTCGCCTTCAAAATAAAAGCATCTAAATAAAACAGGAAGTTAACCTAAATTACATTTAATACATACAACTGCAACGAAAGTAACAAAAACAATGTAATATTCTTTTCAGTTTCACAGAACACAAATTGTACTATATTACGATGGCTACACGACGGCATTGCGAGGGCTTCACGTAGTCGTGTTGCCTTCCTAAGACAATCGGGCAGCTTCTTGTTTCCTTCGTATTGTCTTCGAGAGGCGAAAAATGCCCGATGGTACCGATGATCACATGAAGTAAAGACGAAGATGACACGAAGTAAAGACGAAGATGACGCGATTTGACAAGGTGCCCTCACGATGGCCTTACGAAGGGCAAAATGGACACACGAATTCAACACGAAAATGAACCTTCGCAAGGTCTGTCTGCAATCTTTTGGCATGTCAAAGATTTTGCCACCGCTCGCCGGATCCTGAGAAACTCCACCGGCGGTCATACGATGGCTTAAGATGCCCTTGCGAACGGCCCGATGTTACGATCAGAGCTGAATTTGAACATTTCCGTTATCGTGTGTCCATCTGGTGTCAATTTCGGGACAGTGTGACGTGGGCTTAAAGAAAGTCTACATAAGATTTTGGAACATTTTCCTAAACTGAGGAATTGTGCTTTCCTGTTTTCTTACCATGATGGATCTCATTGTCATTTCAAATTAAAAGCTTGGGTATCCTAACTAGCAGGAAAACAGCCTACAAAACCCCAATAATAAGAGGGCACTAGACATGAGGGCTGTTTGCACACACAGGAATGTTAGGAATGCCAAAATAAAGTCACAGAGCCTGAAGTGGAGGTGCTTCTGCAGACGTGCACGCCAAACAACCTTCAATTATATATTTCTCATCAGCCTCAGTTGTGGATTCGAATAAAAAAGATCCATCAAATGTTCTAACAGTTTGTGCCATTTTAATTAACTGTAAAATACCATACTTTTTTATTTAAATATAATCTAGCTCATATAAATGTCGTGGTCTTTTAAAGCTATATTATACAACTGTAGAACTGAAGAAAACACTTTATTTAGCATAAAACATTCAGCACTCATACAGTATGTGAGTAAGTGTGCTATCCTTACCTAAGAACAAATCCCTATTAAAAAAAAAAAATGAATGTCAGAATCTTTGTGAAATGTTAGGGGTTTTAGGAAAGGAATTGTTTTCCAAGAACCGGGGGAATGAGGCCCTGGTTCTTTCTCAATTTAAAACCTAATAAACTCATGCTGCTAATAGAGAACCGCAGTGACGCGTCCTAAAACCCGGAAGTAAGTTAGCATTTTTACCACGTCCGGTTCCTTCGGCAAAAAGCAATGCAATCTCTCCGTAGGGTTTTGGAAAATAGCTGGAAATCAGGTCTGTGGTTGAGACACATTGAAGAGACGGATCACGTTTTGTTCTACGACATTAAATCCATCAGCAGTGACCCCACTGGTGATTTCTGAAGAGTTGACGTGTCTGAGAAACGATGGTTGTTACCAAGTGGCTGAATAGGACTACAGAAGTTGTCGAGGTCGTTGTACGTCATTACGCCGAACACGTGAACACTCCTCTGAGTTAGTTTCTGTTCTGCTTGAAAGCAAGTCCCTGCCTCCTGCAAACTGGTCAAACAAACGCTTCAACTCGTTCCATTTTGAATCTGTATGTTTGAATATGGATCTCAAGTTGGCGTGACGTTGAAGCAGCGACCCTGCTGTAGTTCCTTTGTAGCATAACGTTAGCATTTTGCTTCTGGCGACTAGATTTATGATTAGAAAATTATAAAAGTAGGATAGACATGTGGAGATTATCCGGCTGAACAAAACGTGATCCGTCTCTTAAATGTGTTTCAACCACAGACCTTATTTCGAGCTATTTTCCAAAATCCTATGGAGAAATTGCATTGCTTTTTGTCGAAGGAACCGGAAGGAGTTTACTTCCGGGTTTTAGGACGCGTCACTGCGGCACTCTATGATCTCCTGTCAATAATCTGTGAGTATAATCTAAGTGTCCCCCTCCCTTGTGTAGACCCAGGTTGGGCACATCAGTGCATCGGCTGGTAGCTGTCGGGCTCCTCTACCTTCTCTTCTCCTCCGTGGAAGGTGTGCTCAGAGTCACAGGAGTAAGTATCAACTATTATTCATCTCCAGATAATAAACTGCTATCATTCTCTATATAGGTTTTAAGCCTACTTGGAGAAACAGATGCAATGTGCTTGCTAACTGTTAAAATATACCAGACTGTCAAACCAAAAAAGGTACTTCCTTGTAACACCACTCACCTGAATGGCATTTCAGTGCAAAATTCACTTTGTGATGTCTTTGATACATAAACATGTGTCCCCGGTGTGTCAGGGAACTCACGCAGCGTCAGAAGATAAAACCCTCTCTCTTTTCCTCCGTACCCAAATCTTTAAAAACGGGGAACAACGGAGCTGATCCAGATTTGCGTCCGATATGACGTAATATCTGAAATGTGGACCCACGGCCCAATCAGAAACGTTGCTATCAGAAACAATGCCCGACTGTTTTGGACGTAATATGGTCGGTGTTTACATTAGCATCGCTAACACTCAGAGCTAACCTGTACTGGAGAGCATGTGTGTGAAGAAGCAGGAAGTAAAAAGGAACTCACCTTGTGGTATAACCGGCAAGAGAGAAAGCCTTTGAGCTCCAAACTGTTTCAGAGAGAATCCTTGATAATCCATGATATGGCGTTTCATCACGGCAGCATTTAGTTTAGACAGTAGCTGCCGGGTCCCGCATGAGCTCAGACCCCTCCTTTTTATTTTAAAGCTTTATCCACAAATCAGCACTTTAGAAACAGGAAGTGAAATAGAGGGATATGAGGCATGGCTAGAATGATCTGTTTGGTATTTTGAGCAAAACACTTCATAGACATGTTTTTTATATATTTTTATATATCTGAGACCTATGCTGTAGCATGATAGGTGACCTGTAATGAAATCTAAAGTATTACAACTGTGCGCACTTGCAACTAACAAGCTTCAGAGGGCAGCAAAAGGCAAACACAGAAATTGGAGATCCTGTAAAGTGACAACACAGGACACACTAATGATCTATATCACCAAAACAACCCAGAGGAGCTTTACTATATCCCAAAATAAATATAAAAAAGGGTGAGAGGACATTTATTTTCCACTTCCCTAGCTCTCCGTCCATCATTTCCTGTGGCTACTGATGAATATGATCCAGGAGAATATAAAGTGCCTGCTGCTGATGGGACATTATCCTTCGCAGGCTGATTGAAGCCGATAGCGGTCGTGTATTTTATCATAAAATCAGCTTCTCAAGGCACTCGGTATGAATGAAGCTGATGTGAGTGGAGAGGCAAGGTTACGCAAGGATTCAGTGTCTCTAAGGCAGACATGTTGTTATGATGATGGGGAATGACATATTTGATCCAGAGTGAAACTCAAACACAGCCAAGGACACTGAAGCAAGATGGAAAACATAATGGAAACACAATGTTATAAAAAAAACATTGGCTAGTACAGACAGGAGGTAAAGTGGAGCAGATGTGGTGTGAAGGGGAGACTTAAATCTTTAGCAGATATCAACAGAGGCCTGAAGAATGGCATTTAAGTCATTGTGAAAGTTCACCTATTATGCAAAATCCTCTTCTTCATGTCTCTTCTACTTCAACATGTGTCCCCTCTTCTTCATGTCTCTTCTACTTCAACATGTGTCCCCTCTTCTCCATGTCTCTTCTACATCAACATGTGTCCCCTCTTCTTCATGTCTCTTCTACATCAACATGTGTCCCCTCTTCTTCATGTCTCTTCTACATCAACATGTGTCCCCTCTTCTTCATGTCTCTTCTACATCAACATGTGTCCCCTCTTCTTCATGTCTCTTCTACATCAACATGTGTCCCCTCTTCTTCATGTCTCTTCTACATCAACATGTGTCCCCTCTTCTCCATGTCTCTTCTACATCAACATGTGTCCCCTCTTCTTCATGTCTCTTCTACATCAACATGTGTCCCCTCTTCTCCATGTCTCTTCTACATCAACATGTGTCCTCTCTTCTTCATGTCTCTTCTACATCAACATGTGTCCCCTCTTCTTCATGTCTCTTCTACATCAACATGTGTCCCCTCTTCTTCATGTCTCTTCTACATCAACATGTGTCCCCTCTTCTTCATGTCTCTTCTACATCAACATGTGTCCCCTCTTCTCCATGTCTCTTCTACATCAACATGTGTCCTCTCTTCTTCATGTCTCTTCTACATCAACATGTGCCTCCTCTTCTTCATGTCTCCTCTACATCAACATGTGTCCCCTCTTCTTCATGTCTCTTCTACATCAACATGTGTCCCCTCTTCTTCATGTCTCTTCTACATCAACATGTGTCCCCTCTTCTTCATGTCTCTTCTACATCAACATGTGTCCCCTCTTCTTCATGTCTCTTCTACATCAACATGTGTCCCCTCTTCTTCATGTCTCTTCTACATCAACATGTGTCCCCTCTTCTTCATGTCTCTTCTACATCAACATGTGTCCCCTCTTCTTCATGTCTCTTCTACATCAACATGTGTCCCCTCTTCTCTATGTCTCTTCTACATCAACATGTGTCCCCTCTTCTTCATGTCTCTTCTACATCAACATGTGTCCCCTCTTCTTCATGTCTCTTCTACATCAACATGTGTCCCCTCTGTGGAAAGAGACTCTGAAAGTTTCAGGAACAAAGATTCTCTCTCTTTTTGATCCATTTCTATAAAAACCTGTCTGAAAATGAGCTGATCAGATTTTGGCCACTTTATGATGTCATAACGATGTGTTGTCTTGTGTAACCATTAGCCAATCAGCAGCCAAGGTAACCCCCCCCCCCCCCCCCCCCTTATCACCTGAATCTCCTCCTAGAGCTCCATTGAGTTCTTTGTAACCAAATCTCTCTCAGAGGGGCGTGGGGAGGGGCTCCTTATTTTCATCTAAAGTAACAGACAGAGAATCAGCACTTTTGAAACAGGGCTGAAACAGAGGGGATTATGGGTAATGCTGCAATGATCTGTTTGGTGTTTCAGCCAATCAGAGACAGGCTCTGTATATATCTGAGACCTGTGATATATTGATGAAGAACAGTATAACAGGGGACCTTTTTAAAATCATGAATTTTATTTCTGAAAATTTGATTCTGAAATGTTGAATTTAAAACAAAAAAGTGCAATTATATTTATAAAAAAAGTCCCATTAAATAAAAGTAGATTTAAAAAATATATACATTCCCCTGTAGAAAATGTTTTTTAAAAAGTATTTATTCATAAAAACCTTCATAACACACACGGGGACGGGTAATAACCTGAAAAGAATGACATGGGACCTTTAAGATTGACTAATTATTTATCTTGTCTTGTGTTTCAGGGTTTCTACGGGACGGTGGCTCTGGTGGCGAACCTCGGCCTCTCCCTTATTGACTCCTGCGTCATGTGGTGGATATCCTTTACCTGGCCTTCTGAAGGAGTTGCTTTATCAAAACAGTTGCCGATATAAGCCTTTAATTGTTGTTACTCAGATGTATATAGAGTATGTTCTCCTTAATTTGCCTCCACATTTTCATCAGCCTGTCTCAGACCATTCGCCTCCTGCAGCTGCGCAGAAACGTTGTGAAGCTGGCTCTCTACAAACACTTCACCAACACGCTCATCTTCTCTGTGGTCGGTGAGTACACTCCGCTGTAAGATGGATTTCATCGAGTAGAGCCGAGTTTTAGATCAGAAATAGCTGCTTCATAACAATTACATATGCTACGATTACCAGTGGTGTAGTGGTCGTTGGACGCGGGAGATCGCCGTCCCCCCACTTATTTGGAGCCCCCACTTTTTTGAAGCATGATTTTTGAATAGTCTAATAAATATAAAATCATTGCAAGTGTGTATTTGTTGTAATAATGACGAAAACATAATACATTTCACAGTAATTACAATAAAAAATAAAAACAATTATCGTAAAAAATTATGATTCGTCCTCACGCTCGTGACCCCAGGGTGACACCACCAGCAATACTGTAGCTCAAGCATTTATGCAACTGAGGCCTATAAATTGTTTATGTAACTTATGTGTGTCCATGGTTTTGAGTCTGTGTGTGTGTTGAGCGCAGCGCCGTCGCTTTTTGCAGTACATCACATGTCACTTGTTAGACGCTTTTATCCAAAGCGACTTACATACTCAATACTGTGGGCAATCCCCACAGGAGCACTTTGGGGTGAAGAGTCTAAGGGACACAACGACATGCTGACTGCAGTGGGACTCGAACTATCTCTCCTGTCCGATTAGACTTCACTCGCGTTTATGTCCATATCGATCAAATCCAGTGGCGAACCGTGGCTATCACAACTGGACCTTCTGTAGACACACGCACCCCCCGCCGCCGCCCCCTCCGCGGCATTATAATGTCCGTCTTTTCACTGAATTGTCGTCTTGAAAAGGGTACTCGCAACAATTCCGCAACAACTTCATCTTCACCTGTTGCACTTGTCATTTCAACGTTAAAAACAATAAAACGGCATGAATTGCTTCGTCGCATTCATCTAGGTCCTCTGTCTCGAGCCAGTTAACTACCGGGCCTTCTAGAATACCCTGGAACCGAGGGGAACTCTGAAAGAATACGCCCATTGGCTACAAATCAATATATGATTGGTTGATCAACCAACGGCCAGGGCCTTCGATCAAGGATGTAGAATACCTTGTTGAAGGATATTCTACCCAGAGACCCAGAACGAGATCTGATTGGTTGCTTTCTTTTCTAACACAAAACCACTGAAATGCGTAGTGCATGGTCCGAGAAGGACAAACAAATCAACGTAACTCTAATATTACAGATCAACAACACAGATACCATTCTCATTTATTCATTTTATTTATATAATTAAATCGATTTTTAAATCGAGTGTTCCAGGGTATTCTCTGAATACCTTGAAGGCCCTGACGGTTCGCCACTGATCAAATCTAGCTGGAGGCTCCTGCTGGGTGCACTGTCCTGCGAGATACCGAGACCTGGCTCTAAACACTCTGTTGTTGTTGGCGAAACACATCAGCAATGACGCGGGTGACACGGGGGTGAGCAGGAGAGGTGGGGAGAGGCGGGGATCCCACTGATCCCACTGATTCGAAGATCAGTGCACTAACCCACTGCGCCACACGCCTGTCCCAGTACAGTAACTAAAGTAGGACTAAGCATACCGGTAGTTTCTGTAGACCTGTCTGCCCGTTTTGTGAGTGCACTGCGTGCGTGCGCACTTGTGGCATTGTTTGGGATGACCTAATTAAAATAGCGTCCACCCAGTAAAAAAATCTCCACTACACCACTGACGATTACAGAGGGAAACTTTTAAAGAAAGATGGACACCATTGGTGGAGGTAATAGGAGGAAACCGGGATTAGTAATGGAAGGATTATAAAAGCTTATTAAAAACTGGACTGTGTGACACCCCAAAATAATATAAAATGGCTCTTTTAAAATGAGGATTCTGGTGCATGGATATATCAGAGGGCCTAGGTATAAAAGTCACGGCTCGCCACTGCATCTCATACAGTATATCATTTGACTTTCAATCAAGCCATTATTAAAGCTTTAGAGGTGGCATTGATGTTGTTCCCTTTTCACTGACCCAGGCTTATAATATATTACATTTTATTCATTCTAAAATAAAACAACTATCAGGAAAACCAATTTCCCCCCATTTGTATTAATGTATTTCTGATTCTGTATCCCAGTGAAATGTAATACAACGTTTCTCTTCTGGTCAATTTATGCTCCTCATTTATGCAAAATATGTAAATGCATTGCCTCATCTTTAGTTAATATGACACGTTCTAATTTAGCTTCCACTGATGGGAGATTTCCAGTCCTGTTTCTCATTATTTGGGCATATTGTTCACACACTTCAAACTGATCCCGATGTTTCTGTGTCCACAGCTTCCATCATCTTCATCATCTGGACCACCAAAGTGTTCAAGCTGGTGGACTGCCAGAGGGTCAGTGTGTTCTCCGTCATTCATCCATTACTGTATTATGTTCCTGTGGTGGAAATTCCACACTTAATCATCTTCTACTAAGAAAAGAACAAATATACAAGCTAAAGACCAAAGTTGTGTTATTTAATAAAGAGTTATAGCATTAAACAGAATCAATATTTCCAGCTTGTAAGGACAGATAACCCGTTGCACTGATGTGGTAAGGAAATCTGACCAAGTTACACAATGTCATTTATACAGAGGAGAGGGCCAAAGATGGGATGGTGAACAGCCAATGAAATTCTACATTACAGGGTATTGAATATTGGAGGATAGACAGGGGTTAAGTGATGATCATTCTCCAGGCAATGGTCACACCCTTCTGTCTGTTGAATGAGAACAAAAGGAAGCCAGTCTGTGTGTTGAAGGTGGGAAGAAGCTTGGGAAGCCGTAGCTTACATCAAACTGAAACTGTAATTAAATTAGACTAACGGCCCGTCCACACAGCGGCGTTGGAAGCTTCTTCTGCCCATTCACTTTGAATGGGGTGACGTCACTTTTCGCCGAACTGCATTGTGGGAAGCCGAGCGGAGCTTTCCTGGCGTTTCAGGCTGCAAAAGTTGAGCAATGTTAAACTTTTGAAGCTTCTGAAGCTTTCGGTGGAAGCGTCAGCCAATCAAATCATATGCCAGTACAAGCTCTAGCCAATCAAACCGCTGCTTGTGTGTCAGGGGCGGGAGATTCATGTGATTGGTTGTTGGTCGAGCTTCAGACACGCCCGCCGGCAACTTTTTCCAAAGCCGCTGTGTGGACGGGTCGTTAATGATCAATGTACTACAACAGTTCCCATCATGCGGTTCCTATGTCTTGTTTATACACAGATTAAAAAGTGAGCTCGCCTTTCGACCTGATATCATCATCAAGTATTTTCTATTCTTCCCCACAGGGATGGAGGGACTTGTGGGTCGACGATGCTTTCTGGCGCCTGCTGTTCTCCACCATCCTGATGGTGATCATGGTGCTGCTGCGGCCCTCTGCTAACAGCCAGAGGTCAGAGGTCACACATCATCACACATCCCACAGTGGCAAACATGTACATTATTACATCAAAGGGAAAGATGCAGATAAAAGGCAAAACAAAAATGGGTGGACTGATTTATTTATTAAAGAAGAAAGGACATTCATTAATGTGCAATATTTACCTGGCTGCTAAATCTTCAGAACTGTTAGAGGATGTGTATTTTGTAAATTGTGTAATTTGTTTTATTTTTTTATATGCATGCTTCTTAGTTAACATTAAGCTGTCTTTGGCTCTTTCCTGCTGTAACACATTTAAATGTCCCCTCTATGGGACGAATAAATGTATTCTGATTCTAATTATTACAATAAAATACGTCCACATCCTTGGTATTTTAGAATAAGTAGCATCATCTATTAAAGTAAGTAAACATATAAAAGAAGTGAGGAAGAAGCCAAGGATTCAACTTGGAGAACTTTTTCTTTGTTTCTGTTTGCCCTCAGGTTCTCTCATTCTCCTCTGATTGATGAAGATGACGATGAGGAAGAGGCCAAGGAGCCCATGCTGAATGAAGCTTTTGGTAAGACTGGGCAATATATCGACATTTTATAAATATTGGGATATGAGGCTGGATATTGTCTTAGATTTTGGACTTCGTATTATGTCTTTTTCCTCGGTTCTAACATTTACGTGGTCTAAATTTATGATTTTCCAGACATGGTCACTATATATATTAGGGGTGTAACGATACCAAAAACTCACGGTACGATAATATCGCGATAACAAGTCCACGGTACGATATTTATCGCGATATTGAAAAATAAAGAGAAAAAAAATAAAGTGAATTCTTTTTTTTCTTGAACATTTTTCTTTATTAAATAATACATCTGATTTGTACAGCATTTAGTGGGATAGTAGTATTTTAAAGTGTAAAAAATATAATAATCAGACCCTGCAATAGAATAAATCAAGTTTCACTTTAGTTTTTCAAGTAACTCAACTCAAACTCACTAAAGCTGGAGCCACACGAGGACGATAACGGACAGCAATCGTTATCAAAAAAGTCTTCCGTCCACACGCAACAGGCACCAGAAGCGTGTCCGTTCACACGAGACCGCTCGAAAGCGCTGGAGAAGCTGTAGTAGATATGCCAGGCCTGTAAGTGGCGCTGTACTCCTGCCACAAAAGCAGCGAAGAAGACGGTTGCCATGGTTGCCATGGTTGCCCTTCTGTTTATTCTCCGCTGTGGACGCTCTGGCTCTTTTTCTCCCTCCCCGTGTGCTCCTGCTGTAAATCTCTCCGGTAGTCCACCAGCAGATGAGAAACACCCACCCCCCCGGCTCTTCCAAGGGACGAGGGGACCGTGCGGCAGAGTTTCAGTTAGATCTTTTTTGTCCGTTAAAGTTGAAATCTTCCGAACAAAATTTGAAAAGTGCCGGTCAGAGGTCTTCTTTGTTATTTATTGAGCTTTAAAACAAATTGATAACGACTCTATATAATAATATAAGAATAATAAACGGAGCCTCTCTTTTCCTCCTCCTCTTCTGACAGCCCAGCAGCTGATCTCTGAGCAGCAGAGGTGGGGAGAGGCGGGGCTATTGCGTCATCGTTATCAGGAAATGATCGTATAGGGCGTAGACACGGAGCCGTTTGGCCCCCCAGAGCGTTTCGGCCGCAGATCTACCCACCTTGCGTTTTCTGCGTTTCCATGTCGGCCTCGTGTGGCCGAACCGTCTATATCAGTGCTTCTCAAACTTTTTTCAGTAATGTACCCCCTTTGAAACATTTTCTCAGCCAAGTACCTCCTGACCGACCCCGGACATTTTTGACAGAAAAAGCCTATATAAATAATTACAATATAGTGAGTACAGTGTTTGATTTATTAACTCCTTAATGCAGTGTTTCTCAAACTTTTTCATACCAAGGACACTTAACCAATAAAAAAACACTCGCGGACCACCTAACTCCACAAATATCCAAAATCACATCGTTTTTCTAGAACAGATTACAAATCGCTTGAAAATGGAACAAACAAGTGGCAACATGTGTGATGAAGGTGTTGCACTGGGCTATATCATGCAATTTAAAGTGAAACTTAAGCTCGCTCCATTGCGGAGATATTCCCGCGAGAGTGCGGAAAAACTCAAATTAATTAATTTATGTAAAATGTGAAATGTTACCAATATACTCACGGACCACTAGGGGGCGCTCACGGACCACCAGTGGTCCGTGGACGACACTTTGAGAAGCACTGCCTTAATGCATGAATTACAACAAACTAAGGATATTTTCATCTTTATGCATGAAAAAAAAGATTTTTCCAAGGAGTTTTTCAATTGAATATTAATATATGTTTAAAAAACCAATGAACAAAATGATATATTAATCAAAACTATAAATACAATAGACAAATGTAACATGTTTATATGAGGAGCCCCTTAGTGGTTCTAGGAATATTTTATATAAAATTGTGTTTTCTATTTAACTTATTGTAAGTTTCATGGTATTTTTTTAATTAACCTTTTTATTTATTTTTACCTCACGTACCCCCTGCAGTACCTCAACGTACCCCTAGGGGTCCGCGTACCCCCATTTGAGAATCACTGGTCTATATGATAGAGAACTGTAGCGGATACGACCGTTATCGTTCTCGTGTGGCTGCAGCTTAAAGGTGACATGTCATGCTTTTCCGGTTAGTACCCGTCCCCTTGTGTGTTATGAAGGTTTTTATGCATGTAAACGGTGTGCAGAGTCAAAACGTCCACGGAGCCGTTACGTTAAGCCCCCGCTGATTGGTCCAAATTGACCAATCCACGGACTTCCTCACACACTCAGTGCAGGCAGCTCTGCTGATTTCTCCTCCCTGGCTGCAGGCTGATAACAGACAGTTGGGATCGCGGCGAAATTCTCTCTGCAGACCCATTCTCTCTGCAGACCCATTCTCTCTGCAGACCCGTTCTCTCTGCAGACCCATTCTCTCTGCAGACCCATTCTCACAGCGTTTATCAACCTTTTTCTTACTCAATATCAAGCCACACTTATTGTTTTTACTTCGGCTGTGACTTTGTGTGTGCTCAGGGTGAGTTTGGCTGCGTTTCGCTGTGTATCGCTAAACAAGAAATCACACCTCCACGGAGCTTAGCGCGATTCACAACGTCCCGACTGGTCCCGACCAATCGGAGCACACTGTGCTCACAGGGAGGGGGGGGCAAGAGCTGCAACGAGCCGTTTAGTGGAGAGAGTGAATACTGCTGAATACACATACTTTACAGAGATGCTGTGTGCGAAACCAATGTGAGTTTGGAAAATTGCACAGTATAAATCTATTCTAGTCGACCTCAACAATGGAATTATGATCAGTGGAAATGGCCATGACATGGGACCTTTAAGGCTAAAATAGCTGCCAAAATTACCACTGATTTGAATTGGCTTGTCCTTTCTTTTCTTAGAGGGAATGAAGATGAGGGGATCCAAGCCGGACTCTAATGGCTCCCAGAAACTATTGAGTAAAGAGGTGGGTTTAAAATCATCTGTCCACGTTAATTATTTGATTTACACTCTAAACTAACACTGTGTCATATAGTAATGTGTCTGCTCAGCTCCTGTGAAATGTTTGACTGTTTTTGTCGTTTGTTTGTGTTTTGAATTTATGTTTTTTTACACACTTTTTAGTGTATAGCTTATTTTATGTTATGTTACCTCTCCATCTATAGCTTAATAATGTTACGTTTCTTAATTCTTAACAGGATGAAGACCTAAAATGGGTTGAGGAAAACATTCCTACATCTGTCATTGATGTGTAAGTATTGTCAATTTAAAATGTAAAACATTGAGTCAAGGAAATGGAGATATTATGCGAGCTGGATTTTGAGAGAATAAGGTATCGGATTAAAACTGAAATCCTTAATATGTCACGTTCAGTTTATGTAAGTCACACACTTTTTTCAATGAGGGTCACATACAGACTAGAGGTATATTGCCTCCATAAGTTAATAAGTTCGCTAAATCAATTAAATGTAGGTAAATGTGTTGTGTTACTGAATCTTCAAAACATTTTATACAAAATATTGTATTTATTTGATCTTTTATTGGACATTTTATTTATACTTCCATCTATATTCTCCCTTTCTTTCTACAGGACATTTAGATTGACCTTATGTTAGATAAATATCTTTATTTTATTTGATCTTTTATTGGACATTTAAACGTAACATCTAATGTTTATTTGTATTTTATGTATAAACAAGACACAGAACGCTTATATTTTCTTATTTATTTACCTTTTTTTGAATTTTATTCTCAAAAAGAACAACTGTCACAAAACCCAATCTCCCCAGAGATAAATAACTGGTCCAGAACTCTGCCGCCCGCATCACCACCAGAACCCCCTCCATTAACCACATCACTCCTGTTCTTCAGCAACTTCCCTGGCTCCCCGTCAAATCCCGTATCGTTTTTAAGATTCTATTCCTCACCTTTAAGGCCATCAATAACCTCACTCCTCTGTACCTCTCCGACCTCCTGCACATCAACACACCCATCCGCACTCTCAGGTCTTCTGCTTCCATGGGGTCTATAGCCTTCAGCCGCTCTGCACCCCGCCTAACCACCATGGGGTCTAGAGCCTTCAGCCGCTCTGCACCCCCCCTAACCACCATGGGGTCTAGAGCCTTCAGCCGCTCTGCACCCCCCCTAACCACCATGGGGTCTAGAGCCTTCAGCCGCTCTGCACCCCACCTAATCACCATGGGGTCTAGAGCCTTCAGTCGCTCTGCACCCCACCTAACCACCATGGTGTCTAGAGCCTTCAGCCGCTCTGCACCCCGCCTAACCACCATGGGGTCTAGAGCCTTCAGCCGCTCTGCACCCCGCCTAACCACCATGGGGTCTAGAGCCTTCAGCCGCTCTGCACCCCGCCTAACCACCATGGGGTCTAGAGCCTTCAGCCGCTCTGCACCCCGCCTAACCACCATGGGGTCTAGAGCCTTCAGCCGCTCTGCACCCCCCCTAACCACCATGGGGGCTAGAGCCTTCAGTCGCTCTGCACCCCGCCTAACCACCATGGGGTCTAGAGCCTTCAGCCGCTCTGCACCCCGCCTAACCACCATGGGGTCTAGAGCCTTCAGCCGCTCTGCACCCCGCCTAACCACCATGGGGTCTAGAGCCTTCAGCTGCTCTGCACCCCGCCTAACCACCATGGGGTCTAGAGCCTTCAGCCGCTCTGCACCCCGCCTAACCACCATGGGGTCTAGAGCCTTCAGCCGCTCTTCACCCCGCCTAACCACCATGGGGTCTAGAGCCTTCAGCCGCTCTGCACCCCGCCTAACCACCATGGGGTCTAGAGCCTTCAGCCGCTCTGCACCCCGCCTAACCACCATGGGGTCTAGAGCCTTCAGCCGCTCTGCACCCCGCCTAACCACGATGGGGCCTAGAGCCTTCAGCCGCTCTGCACCCCCCCTAACCACCATGGGGTCTAGAGCCTTCAGCCGCTCTGCACCCCGCCTAACCACCATGGGGTCTAGAGCCTTCAGCCGCTCTGCACCCCCCCTAACCACCATGGGGGCTAGAGCCTTCAGTCGCTCTGCACCCCGCCTAACCACCATGGGGTCTAGAGCCTTCAGCCGCTCTGCACCCCGCCTAACCACCATGGGGTCTAGAGCCTTCAGCCGCTCTGCACCCCGCCTAACCACCATGGGGTCTAGAGCCTTCAGCCGCTCTGCACCCCGCCTAACCACCATGGGGTCTAGAGCCTTCAGCCGCTCTGCACCCCGCCTAACCACCATGGGGTCTAGAGCCTTCAGCCGCTCTTCACCCCTCCTAACCACCATGGGGTCTAGAGCCTTCAGCCGCTCTGCACCCCGCCTAACCACCATGGGGTCTAGAGCCTTCAGCCGCTCTGCACCCCCCCTAACCACCATGGGGTCTAGAGCCTTCAGCCGCTCTGCACCCCGCCTAACCACCATGGGGTCTAGAGCCTTCAGCCGCTCTGCACCCCCCCTAACCACCATGGGGTCTAGAGCCTTCAGCCACTCTGCACCCCGCCTAACCACCATGGGGTCTAGAGCCTTCAGCTGCTCTGCACCCCGCCTAAACACCATGGGGTCTAGAGCCTTCAGCCGCTCTGCACCCCGCCTAAACACCATGGGGTCTAGAGCCTTCAGCCGCTCTGCACCCCCCCTAACCACCATGGGGTCTAGAGCCTTCAGCCGCTCTGCACCCCGCCTAACCACCATGGGGTCTAGAGCCTTCAGCCACTCTGCACCCCGCCTCTGGACCTCTCTCCCACCTGACATCCGCAACACTGACTCTCTCCCCATTTTCAAATCATGTCTCAAAACACATCTCTTCACACTCGCATATCCACCCTGATCACTATCCATCACACATCCTCTGTTTTATTTATTTGATTATTTTATTGATTTATATACTGCATTGTCTTGTTTATGTTTCTTATGCTGGTGTTATGTACAGTATGGTGTATCTTGTTTTGTATGTTTGTACGGCGACCTTGAGAGCCTTGAAAGGCACCTATATCAAATAAATGCATTATTATTATTATAATCTGACTGATTAAAATGCAGTCTGTATGAGTGCATTCACTTCCTCCCTCTCTGTTCCCCTCTCCATACAGAGCTCTCCCTGTAATGCTGGATGAGGAAGAGGTAAAGACTCTTTGTATTTCCCCCGAGCATATCCCATGATTCCCAATCACATTATAACATTTAAACTCCAGTAATGGCCTTTGCTGTGCTTTCATTCCACAATCACATCACTCTGAGTACTAACGTGTGTTGTCTTTCTCCAGGAGATTCTGAAAACCAAGTTGGAGCGATCCAAAATGGAGTAGAAGTCGTCGTGAGGAGAGGATGTGATGTATTGGAAAGAAAGCAATTTCACTGAGGCAGCAATGAATGCGTTCTCAGTGATCTGATTACCAAAAGAAATGTGGGAAAAGCCAACCTTTCTCTTCTCCAGACACTTTGCGTTTCTGGTTTTATTTCACAGGTATTGTCGCACTGTAATAAGCTCCGAGAATAGTTTTTCATATTAAGATCTTTACTGCGCAACATGTAGTTTGGAGGGGTTGGTTTTCAGGAGGGAGGGGAAACTGATGCAAGAGCACTTTGATACATATATTAATTGTTTTGAAGACGCATTCAATGTCACAAAATAGGTTAAAATTCAACAGAATACGTGCATTTTACACAATTAGAAAGTGCATTGGAATTAGACTAAAACAATATTTCACATATAAGAAACGACGCAATTCAATCCAATTGAAAAAGTGATCCTAGCGCCTGATTTGTCAAATTTGTAGGACTGCAACGACTGATTACTGATCCGTTCAGGTACAAATCATGTTGATAATTGGGCAGTTTTATCCAGCCAGATATATCTGATAATTGTACAGATGGAGCTTAAAACACACGCTGAAAACGGCAAGTTATTGTTCATAATGAAGTCTGATACTTGAACTTCTCTATAATGTGCTGTAAAAAGACTAGAAATGTAAAAAAAAGCAGTTTTCATAATAACAATACATTTCATATTTAAATATATAGATATGGTGTGATTAGCCATTTAACCAGATAACAACAATTTATTATTTCATAAGCTAATTTCTTATAGCTTCTTCAACAAATCATATATGTATATCGTTTTGTTAACACACGACTAACACTGTTATCTGGCTCAATGATTAATCTAAATATAGAAATACAGAACTTACTTTTATAATTTGTGAACACGGTGAATCAGTGTGTATTGAAACTTGAAGCATATCACCGTAAGATGTACATGTGTGTGTTAACGACAACACACTGTTATCTGTTCTGGGAGAATGTAATATATATAAACACAGTGTCATCGGAGGCATTCAGATTGTCATCCGAGGTGTTCAGATTGTCATCAGAGGCGTTCAGATTGTCATCAGAAGTGTTCAGATTGTCACTTCAACGCTTCAATTTCAAGCTCCTGGAAATAAGAGTCTAATAATAGCGATTTTAGAGCTTTTACTGACAAATGAAAGACTGCACGGTCCTCAGAGGGGAAACATTTATGAAAAAGACCCGCTTTCAAGGATAAGTAGTCTAAAATTAAGGATGTTTATTTTATTTTTATCTCTAAAAAATAAGCTTTTATAGCGTCTCCATTAATAGCTGTGATTTATGTCTACTTAATTTCACCATTTATTTTAGCTACTGTATCACAGAATCCACTGCTAAGCCTCACAGATGTGGTGTCGGCCTACATTTAAATTATGTACTGTATGTATGTAATCCTTTCTCAGAGTTTTGCCACCCTAATTCAGTTGCACAGTGTAGATTAAAATGAAAAATCTGTACATGCTAAATGAATCATTTCCATTTCACCCATCAATCCCATTTACACTCCCAATAATCCTGCCTTTCTGTGGCAGAATGATATGCCCGTCCTTGTTAAAACTACTGCAGTACAGTATGTGTGTATGTTTTAAAACTCTTAATTAATGTCTCTTTTTTTTAATATATATTTGTCCAACTCTTGTTGAGGATTTATTTTTATTTTAGAGAGAAACTACAGCCCAATTTCTGGATGTGAGTCTGCGTAGTAATGTAAAGCTGATGATATTGTATGGCTTTTTGCGTGTGTCCTGCAAATAAAATTTATATTATAACACAATGGCAGTTTTTGTGTACATTTTTAACATGTGCACTCCTTTTTTGATTTTACTGTTCAATCATTTCTGTAAGTATACATGTATCCTTTTATTAGTAGCCTATTAAATAACTCTTGAAAGAAGACATTTTGTGTAAAAAACGAAATATGTTAATATATAATTATGTCAAATGAATTAAACAGCTGCTCATTGTTGCACCTTTTTATTGAAAGAAAAAAAAAAGAGCTTTTTTAACAGTACATTAAAAAATCTCAATGAATAAAATCTCGCGAGAATTGCAAGTGCACTATTTATGTCACTGCACCTTTAATGCGTTCCTCGTGAGTGCGCTGACTGCTGTCACGTGCCTGTCAAACCTCATTCCCTCGCGCAGCCGTCGTCAACACAACTGGAGGAAATAAGGAGAAGCTAGCATGGCTAACAAACACTAACGGCTACCGCTAAAACCGCGTTAACTATTTATAATAACTCAACCAAACGCTGTGTTTGTCTTTTATCGACTTATGAACGGGGCCATTTTGTGGCAGTTTCAGTTACCATGGAATAAGAGAGGACAATGTTTAGCTAGGTAGCTTGCTAACTTTTAATGCTAGCATGCTAACGATCAGCTGTTGTTTTGGTCGGAGAGCTAGCTAACCGCTTAGCATTACAGACACCAGATTTCCTCATTCCCCGTCGACACTATTGAGCTACTCTGTCGGTTAATGGCGACACATAAAGTTGTCCCACCCTGACAGACTAGCCGTTGGTCCGTCGGTCAGCTTTTGTCCCGACAGACATCCAATCTGTGTGGGATCGATCCATCCGAGCGGTGTGTAATTGAATATATATATTCAAAATGCATGACGCATATGAACCAGTGCCTATATTGGAGAAGCTTCCTCTTCAGATTGACTGTCTGGCGGCCTGGGGTGAGTTGTTGACACTTCTAAGTTTCCCAAAGAGCTGTTTTTCTAATGTATTGTTTGACATTGAAGTGGACGTCTGAGCAGCTGTCTCAGGTGATTCAGATTACTCCAGTGGTGTAAATTAACTAAATACATTTACTCAAGTGCTTTACTTAAGTACAATTTTCAGGTACTCGTACTTTACCTGAGTATTTCCAGTTTATGCTTCTTTACACTTATGTTCCACTACATTTTAGAAGCCAATATTGTACTTTTTACCCCACTCCATCATACATCATATTCCATGTACTTGTATATAGGCTCTTCTTGCACTGTTTTTATTTAATTTGTATTTACTTGCACATCTAAAAACATTCTCTTGCACAATTGTATCTGTTTTATGACCTATATATCGAGAAACCCTCTTTAATGGTCACACAGTGACATTTGGCCTCTACATTTAACCCATCCAAGCTATTGTACAGCGGCCGGGCGGGGAGCAATGGGAGTGGGGGGATGTCCAGTGCCTGGCTCAAGGGCACCAGGGCAGGAGGTGAACTGGGACCTTTCCAAGTAGTAGTCCACACTCCATATTTTAGGTCTGGTCGGGGACTTGAACCGGCGACCCTACGGCTCCCAGTCCAAGCCCCTACTGACTGAGCCACTCCCGGACAAACTTGACAACTTTGAGTTACTAGTTACTTTTTAGGTTCAGATTAAAGAATACAAGTAGTGAGGTAAAAAGCAGAAACAATAGACTTTAATTCTAGTGAAGTAGAATGTAGCATTAAAATAAAAATACACAAGTAAACTAAAGTACCTCAAAATTGCAATTAAGTTAAATAGTTGATTCAATGTACTTCCAGCACCTCAATTATGCATCATCAAATCTTACTGACCAAATGGCAGTGGCTTCTCTTCTGTCCCTGGCATGTCACCTGTCGTAGCAACTTAAAATCAGCTGCTGTCTAGAGAGAATGATGAGTTATGCAAAGAAACACAGTATCGATATAAAGTATTTTGAGATCTTCGTTTTAATGCATGACGACTCGTTCTGAGTGCGTCCTGTTCTGTGTGAAACAGACTCTTCTTATAGGAAGACATCAAAGCTTTATTTACATTTTAATCAACATGATGCCAGGTGGTCGCCCCTTGGCACAGTACTGTATGCAACAACTCACACCCTACAAAGAACAATGGGATATACAGTTAACCCCTATAGCAAATTCCTTCCACTCATCCTCTCTTCCTCATAAAACCCCCTTCCAAACACATCTGTTATCACACATAACAGCAGTTACATTTCATTAGGGTTAACACATCCCATCAATATGATACTCAAGTACTTAGTAATACATGCATGACAGTACATTCAGATAAGTGATGGTGTTGGTTGCAGAAGGTCTTTAAAGCAGCCTGAATGTTTGGGTCTGGGTTTATGATAAAAAGGGTTGCATTGTGTCTGACAATGTTTCTGTTTGATAACATAACATGTCTGAGTTGACTGACAGCAGGGACGTGCACAGACATTTGCAGGGGCTATTGCTCTAAACTGGAAAAAGCCCCCCCCCCCCCCCCCCCCCCCCCCCCCCCACCCCCCTTGTTTTTAATGTAAAAGGTTCATGAAATAAAATGGGCTGGCTGTGGCTCAGTGGGTAGTGTGCTGGACTTCGAATCTGGGGATAGCAAGTTCGAGTCCCACTGCAGTCAGCATGTCGTTGTGTCCCTGGTGACACTTCACCCAAAATTGCTCCTCCTGTGGGGATTGTCCGCAGTATTGAATGTATGTAAGTCACTTTGGATAAAAGTGTCTAACAAATGACATGTAATGTAATAAAAGCACAACACTGTCATTGCAAGCGACACTCAGTTGACTTTCATGTCCAACTGCTAAATTCGTTGTTCAGGCACATTTTTTGTGGTCCATATCTCATTAAAATATATAATGTTCGTAACTATTAAAGAAAAATGGGGACAATTCTGTTTTAATGTAGTTTGACCATTGTAACTGCTGGGCAGACATAGGCTACTGATAACATAGGGCTTCTAACTAATTACCTTAAATAAACTCACTAATGAATGAAACCAGTTCAATACGCATTATTCTTATCATTCTTTATGAGCGCAGTAACGGTAAGGTATTTCATTACTTATTTATTTAGAATTCCATAACTTAATAACAGAGATGGTCAAACTAAAGTAGAGACATGGCAGAAATCCTACAATAAAGCGGGACAGTGAAGAGTTCTCCCGTGAGAGGGCGATCAAGAAAAGAGAGTGAGCTGCCCCGTTGAGGGAGTTCACGGAGCAGATGAAAAGACACAGAAAGACAAAAGCACAATAAAAAGTATATTTAGGTATTTATTATTATTTATTTTTTGTAAATAACCGACGGTGTCAAGAAAAAGTCCCCTGGTTTGTCCCCTATACTCTAACGCCATTTGGTGTGATCACCATAGCCATATGAGGCCGGACTCGGAGGGCTTTCCTTTGCTTTCAGCTGTCAGATTGTAAACAAAGTCACATGACTTGGGGCAGATGACAGCGCTGACAAGTTGTGTTTTTATCGCAGTGAGACGCTACAATACTAAATGTTGCAAATGTATTATCTTTTCAATTTACACACGGCATCTATTGCACGTCTGTCCGTCCTGGGAGAGGGATCCCTCCTCTGTTGCTCTCCCTGAGGTTTCTCCCATGTCCCCTTTAAACTGTGGGTTTTCTCCGGAAGTTTTTCCTTGTACGATGTGAGGGTCTAAGGACAGAGGGTCTAAGGACAGAGGGTCTAAGGACAGAGGGTGTCGTATTGTCATACTGATATTTTGTACAAACTGTAAAGTCCACTGAGACAAATGTAACATTTGTGATATTGGGCTATATAAATAAACATTGATTGATTGATTGAATGTGGGCTTATCATGTTGATTCGGCCAGAATAGAAAACAAAAAAAACTCTCGCTCTCTCCAGAGGGGCAGGTCAGACAAAAATGGCAAACCGGCTGTTAGCCCGTACCTGTGCACGTGACTGACTGACAGCATCCTTCTTACTGCCAGACCCTGATTGTTGAGTTTCTCTTCCCACAGAGGACTGGCTGCTCGTGGGAACAAAGCCAGGGCATCTCCTTCTCTACCGAATAAAGAAGGATGCAGGTGAGAAGAGCCCAAAGAGATGTGTGGTGGTGATACCTTGTTGTATTTGCAGACCTCCACGTAATGTTGCCTGCTTCAAATAAGTCATTTTGAATGTGTCTCTTTCCCCTTAGGCACCAACCGGTTTGAGGTGACACTGGAAAAATCCAATAAGAACTTCTCAAAGAAGATTCAGCAGGTAGATAAGACTGCATGGTTAGACTATTACTGCCTAGATCAAAACACATCAATGATGAATAAGCATTTAAGATCTGGGGAGGGTAGTTACAAACCAAATACTTTCAGGTTTTTAGGAGTGCGTACTGTACGGTCCTGATTAGTAATGACATATCAACATGTCTGATAATAAACGTGCCAGTGGCCTACTCCCTCTGGAAACACAACACACCTGAATATTTGGTTGATGTGATTGTGATCTCTCAGATTAACCTTCACATTTGTATTAGACTTGTCATTTTATTATTATTGTATTGTACTTGATGTTGTGCTTGTATTGCTTAGATTTTATACTATTATTGCTCATATTTACGATCTCATGTATGCCTTATTTAGTCTTTGTAAAGTGATTGTTTTAAATCAAAGCACTCTTTACGTAGGATTCACACAACCGCAATTATATTGTGCTTTCATAATTATCATAACGTTATTGAATGTTATATTGAAAATTAAAGTTAAGACTTCTCATGCTCACAGAGAAGTGGGTTAAACGACTTAGCTGTAGTGTTTGTTACCTCCTTGTAATTTATGTTTTTCTTCCTTTGTCTACAGCTTTACGTTGTCTCAAAGTACAACATTCTTGTCAGCCTTCTAGGTAAGTTTCTCTCCTTAATATAATAATACTGGTTAGTTTATCTATTCATTATTAAACCTTTACAGCATTGAAACTGCAACCTTTTGTGGCAAAGCATTAATCTTCATTCTCTTAACTGATCAAATCCCTTTCTCCTGCAGAGAACAACATCCACGTCCATGACCTCCTGACCTTCCAGCAGATCACCGTGCTGTCCAAAGCCAAAGGAGCGACGCTGTTCGCCTGTGACCTGCAGGTCAGTTACAGTCCCCCTGTTTTCAAGATTCAAAGGCTTTATTGTCAAATGCACAATAAATACAGCTGATTTGTTGGCACGGGAACATCTTAAACCCCAGGCTCCTCCAACAATATAACATTTGATATACGAAAAGGTCTCCTATCATGCTATTTTTAGCCGTATATTATGCGTCTCAGATATATACAGATATATAAAAAACACGTCTATGATGTGTTTTACTCAAAATACCAAACAGATCATGCATTTTAGACTTCCCTCATATCCCTCTGTTTCAGCTGTTAGAGAAACGCTGATTTTGGGTCCCTAAAAGAGGAGGGGGAGTTAATGCCTGCTCAGAGTTCTACCGGCAGATACAGTTAAATTGATGCGATTGACGTCATATCGGACGCAAATCTGGATCAGCTCCGTTGTTCCCCGTTTTTAGAGATGTGGGTACGGAGGAAAAGAGAGGGTTTTATTTTCTGACGCTGCGTGAGTTCCCCGACACACCGGGGACACATCTTTATGTATAGAAGACATAAAAAGTGCATTTTGCATGATAGGTCCCCTTTAAGACATAAAAAGAAAATATATATTGCATTTAAAAGAGAGCGAGTGACATAATGTTGAAAGTGGAATGCAGGGTAAGTCATCTGTATTTGCAGCGTTCATACATTGCAGCAATGTTACAGTACTGCTATTATATTCATGCTTGTGTACTGCCTGCTATTTAGAGTTGTTCTACTGAGATAATGCTTTACTTGTGCAGGACTACAATCCTACAGCTATACGTTATTGGACTGTTAAAAAGAAAAGTCAGATGAATCGGTCTCCTGATGTGAAGATGTTTTATGACAAGTTGTTTTGCATTTCTAGAACAATTGACTGCGATTCACGTGTAGTATATATTACTACAGTATTAATTTGACTGCTGATTGTGAGCTGGCACTCATTTTGTATTTCAGTCTTTTGAAGGGGTGTCTCAGTGGTGTGGAAAGAAGAAGATAGGTCATCCATCGTTTGAATGTTTTAGCAGTCCTTTCAGGGACGCGGGAAGTCAGTCAGAGTTGGGGATGTGGGGGGGGGGGGGTGCTAGTAGCGTCTCGCAGCGGCGAAACTGTGGCACACTGGGGGGGGGGGGGATGCTAGTGTGGTGCCTCGCAGCGGAGAAACTGTGGCGCACTGGGGGGGGGATGCTAGTGTGGTGCCTCGCAGCGGAGAAACTGTGGCGCACTGGGGGGGGGGGGGGTGCTAGTGGTGCCTCGCAGCGGAGAAACTGGTGCTTTCATAGCGCTTACACTGTAGGTGCGCCACGTTTGAGGGTGAGGGTGCTAGTGGAGCCTCGCAGATGGGGGTGCTGCAGCCCCCTCAGCACCCCCCCTCCTGCGTCCATGAGTCCTTTAGTAGCCCTTGAATTATCATCAGCGAATAAAGAGCCGGGAAAATAATAGTTAAAGTCTGAAATGCAGTTCATGTAAAACTGTTGCTTTGCCTTTTTGAAATCAGCACACTGCACAAAGAAAAAGACAATGAGACGTCGTGTGTTCAAAAGATGATCGGCGGTAATGTAAGATTTGTGAAATGTGCATTAAATCAACCAAAGCAAAGAAAAACGTGCATATTTCTCATACAGTCTTTTGGAAAGGTGAAACACTTTCCACATTTCTGTGATATACACATCTTTCGGAAGATTTTTAAGTCATGATTAATATATTTTGTCTCTGTTGTTTCCAGCTAACCAGCACAGGGGAGGAAAGGTTGAGAATGTGTGTGGCGGTGAAAAAGAAAATCCAGATGTATTACTGGAAGGACAGAGACTTCTACGAGCTGCAGGTGAAATAAAATACAGTTGAGATGTGACTCACTGCTGTATGATTTACCTTTAATCATCCTAATGTTTTGTTTGTGTCTGTCAGGGGGATTTTGGTGCACCAGATATTCCAAAGTCCATGGCCTGGTGTGAAAACTCCATATGTGTTGGTTTCAAGCGAGACTATTACCTCATCCGGGTATGTGCTACTACAGGAAGCTTTCTATACTCCGCTTTACTTATCTATAGCTACCCTGAACTTAAAGGAAGCAAGTGTTTTCCTTTTTAAAGTATCAAAACATCCATTTGTAAATACTCCTGCAGCATATTCAATTCTCCAAAGTCCACCTGAATGCTCACTTTATTTATTGATTGATTGATTGATACATTTTATTTCGAACAAGTAAAATAAATAATTACAAAACAAATTTTGTTTTGCAGTGCATAGTCGTGTAAGAGAAATCAAAACAAAAAATGACATTTACAACAACAACAACATCATTAGCAACATAAACAGTCCCACATCTAGTGTTCGAAAAGGAGTGAGAAGAAGTATAATTTATTTAATCTCACCCCCTTGTCCCTAAATGATTTATTTATAATCTGCAATAATTATTATTAATTATTATTATTAATCTGCTTTACCTGTCGATTGACATATATACATTTACACACACACACACACACACACACACACACACACCACACACACACACACACACACACACACACACACACACACACACACACACACACACACACACACACACACACACACACACACACACACACACAGTCAAACACCTTCCCCATCCCTGTATCTTGAGAAAATAATTTCTCTCTCTTGAACTGGTTAATTCATAACTGTCATATCTTTTCCCAAATGTTGCAGAAAAACAAAGCAAAATGCTTGGTTTTAAGCTGTTTCCTGAACAGCCTTTTAGACTGGGCTTTAGTCTCTCATGACTCTTGCATACATCCTTATTTATCCGTGAGAAACAAACATTTTGCATGTGCCTTTCACAACTTCAGGAAGTGTTTTATACCACTTTTAAAAGGTAGAAACTGGCTGTGATATAATTAGTTCCTGTTTGTTTTGTTATCCTTGAATGTGTTATTTTGGGGTTCTCCCTTTTAGTATTCCTTTTATTTTTATCTTCAGCTAATGTTTGGTAGTGTTATTGCTAGTCTAATTAGCTTTTCTTTAATGTTGTTTCATTATTTTAAGCACAATGTTTCTGTGAGAGTGCTTTCTGGACTTGAAATGCGATAGTTAGATGTGCTCTTTGGATAAATATCAAAGGATATATGTCTGTTTTTACCGAGTTATTTGTTAATTAAGATAACGCCTTGGAGTTATAATGTGATTTTTCTGACTTTCTTATCGACCTTTCCGTTTGTAAGATGTTATTAATAGTTCCTCTAATGATCCTTCCTGTTGATCAGATGGACGGCCGAGGCTCCATCAAGGAGCTCTTCCCCACTGGGAAGCAGCTGGAGCCGCTGGTCACCCCACTGGCTGATGGGAAGGTGGCTGTCGGGCAGGACGACCTCACTGTGGTGCTCAATGAAGAGGGCGTCTGCACCCAGAAGTGCGCCCTCAACTGGACAGACATCCCTATAGCAATGGGTGAGACATCAAAGTCAACTTTATTGTCAATCTTTCAGTTTGAGTGTAAAGACAGAGAGATCGAAATACTGTTTCCTACAATCCCGAATACAAAAATACAATATATATATTGTGGGGGAAACTTCTGAAGCAATGGGAGTCAGGACTCAGAGAGACACGAGGAGAGCTGGAGCTTTGATGGCAAACACTGACGGTTTATTTGGAGCTTCGAGCCGGAGAATTCACAAGACATGTCACGGGCCACGATCTGACCACACGGTTTAGATGCCACAATAAATTCTGAAGAGCCCTCCTGTAGCTCCAGGTTTTAACTCGTTCAGAGTGTGATAATCAACATTCTTCAATAGATAGACTAAACAGCTGAGGACACTGAATCACATTTGTTGTCGCTTGTCTCTGACCGAGAGTTGCCCGGTCACAAACTGGTAATAACAACAACTTGCTAAGGCCGCCCCTCCTTATGGGAGATAGCGGCAACTCAAGGCTGGTCAGCTGCGTCAGAGGGCAAAAGGTAAACATCTATGGAAATTATTCCCTGACATATGTATATACAAATATGTATAAAATATTATATATAAATTAAGATAAAAGCACAACAATCAATATATACAAAAAACAGTCACTTCAATATCTTTGGGAATGTACATTAGTGCAAGATTGTCCATAGCAGCGTAAAAAGTGTCTGGTCCTGGATTTAGCAGAGCAACTTAAAACTGTAAAGACATTTTTATTTGTAATATGTGTTTTAATTCTAGACATAGTTTTGCTTTAAGTTGGACCATTTTCTTCTTCTTTTTTTAAACAAATTTTAATATTTGTTAAGATGGGTCATCAAAAACAACTAAAAGAGAAAATTACAGAACCAAAAATCTTACTATGTCTGGCAACGCACAACTAATACTGAATCGGAATACCTTCATTAGTCCCACAGAGGGAAAATGTACGTAGTTACAGCAGAAAAAGAGCCAAAGACAGCTTAATGTTACATTATGTTACATGCATTAAAAAGTATTAAAGTAACAAAAAAAGTTATAATAAAAAATATAATAAAATGAAAAGTTACACAATTTACAAAATACACATCCTCTAACAGTTCTTAGGATTTAGCAGCCAGGTATATATTGCAAAAGTTATTAACGGCATATATATTGCACATATAGCACACATTGCTAGGGCCTAATACACAACAATAAGTATGAATTAAAACAGAAGAAGAACATATAACATAAGTTTAATACAAATCAGAAAAGACATTAAAGGTGGGGTCATGTCATTTTGGAGAAACCAGCTCGAGTGCGCTAGAATTTGAAAATACACAGCCGGAAAAAATCTGCCACTTCCTCACAGAGCCCCTCCTCCAACACACACGAACGCGCACATGACCAATGAGGGCACGAGATAAGTTTGTGCTCAGATGGAAGGCTGACAGGCAGGTAGGCCATCCAGTTACTTTAGCCGGGCCGGCTCAGATGATTGGTCGTGCTTTTTACAGCGCCACGGCTCCATAGATGAGATATTTTAATGGATTTTTTGTCAAAGCACTTCAGATATTCATTGCTATCGAGATGTTAAGAACATTCCATGGAATATAACAAGTGTATCTCGAGCCGCTTTCTCAGACTTACCCCACCTTTAACACAGACAGAAAAGTCAAAAGGTTATACAGATGATTTACACACAAATTGGATAAAAAGTCGTCCTCTAAAATATCTTAGTTGAAGCCCGAGTCTGACTTTAATCTGACATTAATCTTCTTTAATAAACGTTCCATCACTTAATATACGTTCTTGTTCCTTTCTCTTAATAGCAATCTGCTGAATGATATGCTTCAGCTGCGCCGGTATAAAGCGCTGCTTCTTGATTTGACTGCAGTTAATCAATCAGTTAAATCTCTCCTTGTCACAGTTTGTTCACATAGCAGGAACACCAGATGAAGCATTTGGTCTGAATATCCAGCTGCTGTCGGTCTTCTCTTTTATCTCCTTGAAGCTTTCCCTGTACAAACTTTATTTATTTTTTCCCCTGCTGTTTCCCACATGTCGGAGGAAGATAGATTTTTTTGTTTGACTCCACATGTCTGGGTTACTGATGAGCTTTGTGACAGGAGTGATACGATGACCTCTCACGTTTACGTCTCCCATATATTGCAGTGCAGAAAGGAACAATATGGAGGGGAAATTAAGCCTTCGGGCAGTGTGCAATTTCCTTGCTTTGATATGTGGACTTCAGCGGAGGAATGAGAATGCTGCTCACTTTGAAATGCATTGAACTGTTCCTGGCTGGTGCAGAAACTACCTGTTTTAAAGTTTGAACCCTAAGCTTGTCCCTTATGCACAATGTTTCCCGGAGCTAAGGGTCAATGATGGGTTATTTAAAGCCTCTTATAATAACATTTCAATACAATGTGTTTCAAAGTGCTTCACAGACATATATAGACATTAATAGTAAAATATAATCGATAAATAGAAGTCGAAAAGTATTAAAAATAAATCGATGGAGAAAAGAAACCTAATTGAAAGCTATTTGATCAAAAGGAGCGTTTTCTTTTTGTTTTTTTAAAGGATACTGAGGTAGGTACTTTAAAGGTCACCTATCATGCTATTTTTAGGCAATAGCGTAGGTCTCGGATATATAAAATTATATAAAAAACATGTCTATGCTCAAAATACCAAACAGATCACCCATTCTAGCCATGCCTCATATCCCTCTATTTCACTTCCTGTTTCAAAAGTGATGATTTTGGGATAAAGCTTTAAAAAAAAAAGAAGGGGTCTGAGCTCATGCGGGACCCGGCAGCTACTGTCTAAACTAAATGCTGCCGTGATGAAACGCCATATCATGGATCATCATGGATTCTCTCTGAAACAGTTTGGAGCTCAAAGGCTTTCTCTCTTGCCGGTTATACCACAAGGTGAGTTCCTTTTTACTTCCTGCTTCTTCACACACATGCTCTCCAGTACAGGTTAGCTCTGAGTGTTAGCGATGCTAATGTAAACACCGACCATATTACGTCCAAAACAGTCGGGCATTGTTTCTGATAGCAACGTTTCTGATTGGGCCGTGGGTCCACATTTCAGATATTACGTCATATCGGAAGCAAATCTGGATCAGCTCCGTTGTTCCCCGTTTTTAGAGATTTGGGTACGGAGGAAAAGAGAGAGGGTTTTATTTCCTGACGCTGCGTGAGTTCCCTAACGCACCGGGGACACATGTTTATGTATACAAGACATCACAAAGTGCATTTTGCATGATAGGTCCCCTTTATAAAAATATAATACAGAAAATCTTTTAGTAAATAGTATTGTTGTAAAAATACTAAATATATGCATCTATATTTTTATTTATTTCAAATAACTGAAGAAGCCCATTCCCCTTTTAAAAAAAGTTGAACTATTTATTTCAATTTAGTTTTATTTTGTTATTGTCATTCATTTTGTCCAACCCAAGTATTAACCTTACAACCAACGACTGAAAGTCCACAGATATGTAATAACCGAGCTGTGACAGTTTGTGCTTTTAGCTGACACAAAGTTTGAATCCCTCTTTCCTCTTATCTTCCCAGAGCACCAGCCTCCGTACATCATCGCGGTGCTCCCTCGGTACGTGGAGATCCGGACGTTTGAGCCCCGGCTGCTGGTGCAGAGCGTGGAGCTGCAGAGGCCTCGCTTCATCACCTCCGCTGGGTGAGAACACCCCCATGAAGCCCTGTAATCTCTGTGGACTAGGGTTGCGGTCGAATTGTCAGTTTAGTTTAGGAACCTTCCTAACGGAGTGAAATGACCCGGAAGTACCTCAGTGGCAGCCATGATAAGAGCCGTTCGAATTCTCTAGATGATAGGAAAGGAGGTTTGAAACTTCCTTTATAACCTCCTTTAGTTTAGGAAACACTCGACCCACCTCAATTAAATTCTGTTGTTTTCTAATCTCTGTGGACTAGGATTATTATCTGGCCATTTATCCTCCCTCACTCATTTACTTTTATGCATAAATCAAACGTCCTATATCATACTGGCTGCGTTGTTGCACCTCCTCAAAAAATGTGTTTATTACAAATTCGATCTTTCTTTATCAAATGGTGGTTATAAAGGGGTATATTCATCATAAATTGTGTTAAACATAGAAGTGTCTTATAACTATATATCAGTTTAAACTACTATTGTTAAAATGGGTTGTATTATAATGAAAAACAATTCATGTTTAATAATATATTTTTGTGTTTGAATGGTTATTTTCTTTATATATCAAGTAAGATGACTTGATATTAAAGGTCCCATGTCGTGCTTTTCTGGTTATCACCCGTCCCCTTGTGTTATGAAGGTTGTTCTGCATGTAACGGTCTGCAGAGTCACAAACCCTCAAAGTACACCCTGTAGGGAGTAAAACTCTAACACAGAGAAGACCTGTCTCTGCTGCCCCAGAACGCCTCGTTGGACATTTCTCTTTTTACATTGTTTTCTTCCTGGTTATAGTGACGTGACTATACCCAGGTCCAATCCGTGGAGCTCCTCACACACACACACACACACACACACACACACACACACACACACACACTCAGCCTTATCTTTTCTCAGCCGCGACCACACACAGCCACACTCAGCCTGTGTGTGCTCAGGCTGAGTTCCGTGATGTCTTGCTGTCTCGCAGACCCCACGCAGCAACCAGGAAACAACACCAGTAATCCAGTTCACACTGTCCGCTCGCTGCGAGCCCCGCAACGTCCCGCCAACACGGCACCCAGACCCCACGCAGCATTCTCATCTGTTTTTCATTACTGGTGTCATTTTCTGGTTGCTAAAAAACACCATTGTAACACATAAACACACATCAGAACACAGTGGGATCATAGGAGCTCCAACAAGCCGTGTAGGACAGAGAGTGAATACACATACTATACCGAGATGCTGTGAGAAACCAATGTGATTTTGGAACATTGAACAATATAAATCTATTCTAGTAGACCTCAATGATCAGTAGAAATGGCCATGCCATGGGACCTTTAATACAAGAAAAAAGGGTCTTATTTTATGCTATGTATACAAATATATGGTTAAGAAATGAGGCTTTATTATGGTTACCCCCCTCTTTCCTATGCAGAACATCCTAAATAAAAACATGATGCATGATTTGCCGCTTTCCTCTCTTCCCCTAGTTTCCATCCCCATCACATTGAAACTGATAATGTCAGTCTCTCCTCACAAAGACATCATTATTTTGTTCCCACCCTCTCTAATGTTGTTTTTCTCCTCTCATCCTCCACAGGCAGAATATTGTGTACGTTGCCAGCAACCACTTTGTGTGGCGCCTGGTGCCGGTGTCCATTGCCATTCAGATCCGGCAGCTTCTTCAGGACAAGCAGTTCGAGTTGGCTCTGCAGCTGGCGGTGAGAACACCTTCCCTGAGGAACGTATTTATTCCTGCAGAGAGGTGCTTTAGCTCAGGGGGTGTGGCACTGAAATCACTTAACTTCATCAGGAGCACGACGATGAAACTCTAAAACGCTCACGGCTTTGTTCTTTATTGTCAGATAATCTAGCTATCTAGCTTTCCAGGGGTTATTTTATAAGGATTAAGAACACCATTAATGTGGTTTGTTCATTATTAGAAAGCATGCAGTTTCTTTTACTTTACATTTAGCTGACGCTTTTATCCAAAGCGACTTACATTAAGTGCGTTCGACCAAGAAAACACAAACTTGAAGAAAACAGAATCATATAAGTACATCAGGTTTCATAGAGCTAAAACATTTCAAGTGCTACTCAACTGGCTTTAGATAAGCCAGTCCTTTATTAGTATATAAGTGCTTCGTTAATAATTCTATCGCTCGAAGTGGAGTCGAAAGAGATGAGTTTTCAGTCTGCTCCGGAAGATGTGTAAGCTATCTGCTGTCCTGATGTCAATGGGGAGCTCATTCCACCATCTTGGAGCCAGGACAGCAAACCCACGTGTTTTTGCTGATGGGAACTTGGGTCCCCTTCGCAGCGAGGGTGCAGCGAGCTGTTTGGCTGATGCAGAGCGTAGTGCACGCGCTGGGGTGTACGGTTTAACCATGTCCTGGATGTAGGAAGGGCCAGATCCATTCGCAGCATGGTACACAAGTACCATTGTCTTGAAGTGGATTCTAGCAGTTACCGGAAGCCAGTGAAGGGAGCGGAGGAGCGGAGTGGTGTGGGAACATTTAGGAAGGTTGAAGACCAGACGAGCCGCTGCATTCTGGATGAGCTGCAGAGGTCGGATGGCACATGCAGGTAGACCAGCCAGGAGGGAGTTGCAGTAGTCTAGGGGTGAGATGACGTGAGCCTGGGCCAGAACCTGCGTTGCTGTTTTATCAAATCAAGTTTTATTTATATAGCACATTTATAAACGATTTTTGGTGGAGCCAAAGTGCTGTACATAAAATAAAAATAGCCTACAGTAGAGACACTTTACAGCAAATACAACAGCACAGATTGTTCAGAATATCAGTATGAGAAATACGACACCCTCTCTCCTTTGACCCTCTGTCCTTAGACCCTCTGTCCTTAGACCCTCACATCGTACAAGGAGAAACTTCCAGAGAAAACCCACAGTTTAAAGGGAGCATGGGAGAAACCTCAGGGAGAGCAACAGAGGAGGGATCCCTCTCCCAGGACGGACAGACGTGCAATAGATGCCGTGTGTAAATCGAAGAGATAATACATTTTACAGCATATAGACCGAATGTTAGGAAATGCATGTGTCTGTAATAAGAAGATGAATCCACGGAATGTCAGCTGTAATCCTGTGGAAGCCTTCAGGGAGGCAGCATGACGAGACCCAAGGCAGGACCGCAGAGACAGGTTCAGCCACGACCCGAAGTCCACGACTTAATCCAAAAAGCGGTTTTATTGTGAAGCTTAGTTTTCTACAGATAACAAAACCTCTTATGTCTTTTACATGCAACATAAAGGCAAAATAAATAAATACAATTCATAAAACTGCACAGCTTTTCCAATATTCAACTCAGATTAACTGCACGTACTTATTTCTCATTCATTTGTGATATTGTCGTTGTATTTCTTTTTTGGATTTTTATATTTCTTGTCAGCAATAACATTTTTACAATTGTTCTTAGTGTGTTTATGTACAAACCAAAGACAATTCTTTATATGGGCTAAGCTACTTGGAACTAATGATACAAATATAATACAGAAACAATTATATTGATAATATTAAATACAATTTAAAAACATTATAAGGGGAATATCATTACTTGTGTGCGTAAAATATCAAAGATAAACTTAAGATTTAATCCTAAAACTGCAGTATGTCAGAGAGCTTGAATTCTAATTAGTAATATTGCTGTGTTGAATTGCTTTGCTTTTCTTCATGTATATTCTCTTTCTGAAGATGAAGGATGATTCTGACGGGGATAAGAAGCAGCAGATCCATCACATCCAGAATCTCTACGCCTTCAACCTGTTCTGCCAGAAGAGGTTCGACGACTCCATGCAGGTGTTCGCCAAACTGGGGACAGGTGAGAACTGTAAGCTTTTCTTCTTCCAAGTCTGTTCAGGCCAAATCAAAATAAATACGTGGATCTTCTGTCTAGAGCGGCACAATTAATCGAATCACAATTTAAAGGGGACCTATCATGCAAAATGCACTTTGTGATGTCTTTTATACATAAAGATGTGTCCCCGGTGCGTCGGGGAACTCACGCAGCGTCAGAAAATAAAACCCTCTCTTTTCCTCCGTACCCAAATCTTTTAAAAACGGGGCTACAACGAGCGGATACAGGTTTGCTGCCGATATGACGATATGTCCCCTCTTCTTCATGTCTCTTCTACATCAACATGTGTCCCCTCTTCTTCATGTCTCTTCTACATCAACATGTGTCCCCTCTTCTTCATGTCTCTTCTACATCAACATGTGTCCCCTCTTCTTCATGTCTCTTCTACATCAACATGTGTCCCCTCTTCTTCATGTCTCTTCTACATCAACATGTGTCCCCTCTTCTTCATGTCTCTTCTACATCAACATGTGTCCCCTCTTCTTCATGTCTCTTCTACATCAACATGTGTCCCCTCTTCTTCATGTCTCTTCTACATCAACATGTGTCCCCTCTTCTTCATGTCTCTTCTACATCAACATGTGTCCCCTCTTCTTCATGTCTCTTCTACATCAACATGTGTCCCCAACATGTGTCCCCTCTTCTTCATGTCTCTTCTACATCAACATGTGTCCCCTCTTCTTCATGTCTCTTCAACATCAACATGTGTCCCCTCTGTGGAAAGAGACTCTGAAAGTTTCAGGAACAAATATTCTCTCTCTTTTTGATCCATTTCTATAAAAACCTGTCTGAAAATGAGCTGATCAGATTTTGGCCACTTTGTGATGTCATAACGATGTTTTGTCTTGTGTAACCATTAGCCAATCAGCAACCAAGGTAACCCCCCCCCCCCCCCCCCCCCCCTTATCACCTGAATCTCCTCCTAGAGCACCATTGAGTTCTTTGTAACCAAATGTCTCTCAGAGGGGCGTGGGAGGGGCTCCTTATTTTCATCTAAAGTAACAGACAGAGAATCAGCACTTTGGAAACAGGGCTGAAACAGAGGGGATTATGGGTAATGCTGCAATGATCTGTTTATATCTGAGACCTGTGATATATTGATGAAAAACAGTTTAATAGGGGACCTTAAGTTCATCAAAAGTGCTATATAAATATAAACTATTATTATTATTATAAACTGACACACACATTTGTCCTCTTCAGATCCCACCCATGTGATCGGGCTGTACCCAGACCTGCTGCCCTCAGATTACCGCAAACAGCTCCACTACCCGAACCCTCTGCCCTCTCTGTCCGGGGCCGAGCTGGAGAAGGCTCACCTGGCCCTCATCGATTACCTCACTCAGGTGTGTGACGTATGAATCCGTGGTAGTGGTACACTTCATCGGAACCCAAATTCAGCAGGGATTATGCAAAGGGTCAATATACCTTTTAACCAGGTTTCTTTGGGTTCACACTGGTGTCTCTCCATTTGGATGAGCTGCATGAAATGGTAAAATAAATGTCAATGTTATGACATAAAACATTTTTTTGAGCCGCTCAAATATTGTAAAAGATTTCAGTTTTTTTTTTTAAATTGAAGGAGTTTTTTTTAACAGGATTTTTATGTTTTTTTATACTTTATTTCCAAGAACTAAGGTTGCCTGTTCTTCCACAAAAACTTCAACACTTTCACCTAGATTGTCATTTCATATTATAATTACGTTCATCAGACAAATGGAATAACTTAAGTAACAACTACTTTATGTAAATCTACAGATATTTGATAACTTGCAGAAGATATGTAATATTTTTGTGTTGTATAACTATCCAGATTATTTTTTACAAATAACAGTATTTCAGTAAATGTCCCCTCGTCTTTTCGTCTGTTTGATTTACAAACTGAATTTGGCCTCTTTTTAGGGTTAAGACGGAACATAATGTCCATCTGCAAACATTTAAACATTAAATAAATCTTTACTTGGACAAGACTGAACAAATACACCAAGCGTTGTGTAGTATTTAAGGCATGTCAAGGGTGAGGATCAAGATAATTGGTGTACATTTAAAGGACACAGTAATGATGAATGTATTATAATGTATTTGTATTTGCCCCACAGAAACGCAACCACCTTGTGAAGCAGCTGAACGACTCCGACCCCTCGCCGACCTCTCCGCTCATGGAGGGCACGCCGACCATCAAGAGCCGCAAGAAGCTCCTTCAGATCATCGACACCACGCTGCTCAAATGTTACCTGCACGTAAGTCCCAGAACATCCTCCTTTTAATCCTTAATGAAGAGATACATGGCAAGTCCAATCTGCTGCTTTTAAACAATCATTTGTATCTTAATAGTTTATTGTCTTGCAGAATTGAAAGTGTTGCGCTGATCTAATGTCCTTTAAAAAGTTCTGTTGTTTTTCATTTATGCTTTAATTTAGTCAGATGTACATTTCTTTACGTACATAGGATTTCAGGAATGTTTAGGAACCTTTTTTCTCCCCCCTTATCTCCACAAACGTTTCCATTCAGTCATTTATTATTCGAAGCATTTTTGTAAAGCACATTTATTTTGATCTTAAGCTGTTTCCTTGTCTCATGACTCATGACGTATTTTTGCAGTTGTCAGTGAACGTAATCCCTATGTTTATGTTTCACGATAAAACTTCATACCAGTTCTAGAAAACTTGGCACTCGTCAGCGTTCAACTCGAAGCAAAATGGTTTGATATCACATGAAAGTAATTCAAAACACTCTCAGAGATTGGCAGCTGCAGCAGGCACTTAGCTGCACATATAGCCAAATGGATTCTGTGTTAGGGAGCTCATTAGCAGGTTTACTTTGAAGAAACAAAAGTTTTAAGTGGTGTCCTCCAGGCTGAGCAGCTGAAATTGTATGTAGATGCCTCGACAAAAAGCTTACATTTACCCGGCAATCTGTGTATCAAACCTCATCTTTGTAAAGAAAGGTAACTTGTGTTGAATGAGATCACAGATACAAGCAGCCAAAATGCATTTCTCTACTGGATAGTTTGGCTTTTTGTGAGGAGGAAAACCAGCTTCAAAGTCTTTCTGCCGATACTCAACATTTAGGAGGAGCCAATCCACGTAGAATCCTGGGAAAATGACCCCTGGTTTTTCCACTTTTTGGAGTTTAAACAAACAGAATTTCATCATAGGAACTCTAAAGGAAGACCCTAATCGGACTGGAGGGAAAACCTCTGGAGATCTTCTCAAACAAAGACACCTGATCCAGATTATGTATTCAAATGTTAATCACAGTGTAAAGCAGGAAGGATGAAATCACCCATGAGGTCAGATTTGAAGTGAAACACAACCTCAGTTTTAAGAAGAGGTGAATGGATTGGACGCACGTTAGGAAGTGTATTATAATATTCTCCTATCCTCCTGTTCAGACTAACGTGGCCCTGGTGTCCCCGCTCCTCCGTCTGGAAAACAACCACTGCCACATCGAGGAGAGCGAGTACATCCTGAAGAAAGCCCACAAATACTCCGAGCTCATTATCCTCTACGAGAAGAAAGGCCTGCACCAGAAAGGTAAGAGAACACCTGACTGTAAACCACCTGTGCTGCAAACCCCATTATATTAGTATTAAGTAGCAAACTCCAATCATTTGTCAAGTCTCGACTCCAGATAGGAGCTGTTATGGTAATGGGACTCAGATTAAGTATATATGCATTCCACATTTACATGACGAAAAGCAAAATGCCTGCACACTCAGTCATAGTTTCTCTATAACAGTCTTCATCTATTTTAAACAATTTCCAACTTTACAAATATATTTTTGTCTCTGAACTCCTAGACTTTGGGATTAATGTATTCCTTGAGCAGTTTTCCATTTTATTCTTCTTGAATTGTTAATAGATTTTACAGATTTGTCCTAACCCCTTGGCAAGTTAAATATTAACCACATTTTTTCAATATTTTCAGAAGATTCTTTGTTGTTTTTATTTTAAAGTGGACCTATCATGCAAAATGCACGTTTTGATGTCTTTTCTACATCAACATGTGTCCCGGTGTGTCGGGGAACTCACGCAGCGTCAGAAAATAAAACCCTCTCTCTTTTCCTCCGTACCCAAATCTCTAAAAACGGGGAACAACGGAGCTGATCCAGATTTGCGTCCGATATGACGTAATATCTGAAATGTGGACCCACGGCCCAATCAGAAATGTTGCTATCAGAAACAATGCCCGACTGTTTTGGACGTAATATGGTCGGTATTTACATTAGCATCGCTAACACTCAGAGCTAACCTGTACTGGAGAGCATGTGTGTGAAAGAAGCAGGAAGTAAAAGGAACTCACCTTGTGGTATAACCGGCAAGAGAGAAAGCCTTTGAGCTCCAAACTGTTTCAGAGAGAATCCTTGATAATCCATGATATGGCGTTTCATCACGGCAGCATTTAGTTTAGACAGTAGCTGCCGGGTCCCGCATGAGCTCAGCCCCCCCCTTTTTTAAAGCTTGATACCCAAATCAGCACTTTTGAAACAGGAAGTGAAATAGAGGGATATGAGGCATGGCTAGAATGGGTGATCTGTTTGGTATTTTGAGCAAAACACTTCATAGACATGTTTTTTATATATTTTTATATATCTGAGACCTATGCTATTGCCTACAAATAGCATGATAGGTGACCTTTAAATTGGCAATCAGAGAATTGACAGAAGACACTTACAAATATTTTAACTCTGTGAGAAGTGGATAAAAAAAACTAGATCCGACAGGGAATCCCAACGTTATTTAAAACATTTGTGGTTTCGAGTTATTGTGCAGGTATTGCTCTTTTCATCCTTGAATAGGCAGAGATTAGAAATAGATTTAATGATGTTATAAAATGTTATATAGTCCTATTGGAAAAGACAACTGAAAACTGTCCGTGTTTTTAAAAATAATAGCTTTTATAGTGTAACATATGAAATGCTTATTTTAAGGAGTTATTGGTGATGTTTGCGTTTCGCCCAGCTGTCTCAAAAACCTGGTTCATGCCTGGTTCTTATTGGTGTCCTGAGCTGTGCTTCCCGTTTGACTATGTGTGATTTTGGGCGTAATAAATGGTGGGGATTTACACCTCCTTCAACTGTTGGGGCTTTCCTGGAAACCTGGCCGGCGTTTCTCTCTCTGTTGAGTTCAAGTGCCAGTTCAAATAGGCTTTTTTTCCACTAATGGGTTACAGCCTTTTTACGCTGAATAAGCAATCACAAAGCATAACTATGTTAAAATTCAGTAACACAGATTAGTCAGATGGAAAAATGTGGATTTGGTCTACTCTGTTTATTTCTTTAGGGATTAGGTAGGGGACTTAGATCGTGATTTTAGCCTTTGCAGACCATTTACATGCACTACAACCTATAGAACACACTACAGGAGAGGGAACACCATGAAAGAATAATAGGGCCTCTTTAGTCAACCTTTCAGTTTGTGTGTACAGACAGAGTTCAAAATACCGTTTCCCACAATCCTGAATATAAAAATATGAATAAAATATGTATATCCTATATATGCAAAGTCAACAGACACATTTATACCAGGGTTTCTGCTAAGATTTTTTCTTGCCAGTCAAATGTGAAACTTACCGGTCATGTTTCAATAATAATAATAATAGAATTGT